AGAGAGAGATACAGGCCAGGTGCCAAATGGTCAGGCAAAGTACAAAAGCTTGTGCTTTGCAAAGTTATGGGTGGTAAAGTTGTTTTTCATGTCTTCGATATACAATGGATTGAACCATTCAAACAAGGAATGATAGAGTCCAAAATGCAGCTTTTGGTTGGTGTGCGCACTGGTGGTGTTCTTGACGGCCTTGGCCAGATCTCCGACAAGATCTCGTCGTGGTCCCTATTTAACAAAAACATAAAAGTGTCCGACACCAAAAGAGTATGAGGACTCAATAAAAAGCTCCTCCAACATACGAGAGAACAATCCGCTGCAAGAGAGCAGCACCAAACAAGAAGCAACACTTTTTACTTACCACATCCATGGCATTCCAATTCCAAGTATGATGTAGATTGCGCGAATCCCAATTGCAGAATCCTTCATGATGTTTGCTGGTGAGTACCACGTACTGTGCCCCTGCGCGTTTGAAGATTTTGGCCCATTCATCTGGATTCCAGAGCTGTGCCGTGAAGCGATGGGCATAATCCTGATAGGCAAAGTTTTTGACTTCACTTTCTTCCACAAACTTTTGAAAGCTGGGCTTGACAGGTCCATCGTATCCGCCCTTCCAAACCCACCAGAACCTTTTACCAAAAAAATGATGCAATATACCCAATATAACCCAAGGGCGTGTATTTTTACGGGGAATGCATGAAGACGAGGAAGATTAGCGAGACAGAAAAAGAGGACATGGTAAGAAGAAGGAGTAAATCATTGATGCATTGCTTGCTTGGATGAATGATGTACAAGCATACGCACCATTCTGCTGTATCAAAAGCCGGGACCGAGAAGACTCCCCAGTGAATAAAGATACCAAACTTGGCTTCATCGTACCAAGCGGGAAGTGGCCTAGAATCCAGAGATTCCCAAGTGGGATCCCATGCTGCCGTTCGCCATGGCGCCTTGCAAGCCAACAACAGAGCTGATATCAACAATGAACGAATCACCATGGTGTCGATCGTCGTCCTTTGTTCCTCTCTCTGTTTCGTTCTCTTCTGGTGCTTTATTGGGATCTGCCTTCGAGGGAAGCTGATGTTGTTCTGTGATGCAACGGAAGTGTGTCACTTGGGCGAAGAGGAAAGATCCAAAGATTAAGCCTGTAGATCTGAGATCTGGCTTCCAAACAATATTTTTATTTTATCGCTTCCTCAGTCTCCATCCGTCGCTCTCGACCACAACCCGTTCAAATCCAGTCAAATCTCGTGGACCCTCACTTCTAACACTGGATTTGTTCGACAATGGCAACATCAGCAAGTGACCCCAACAATCCAGGCAACACTCTGGCATCGGCCGTGGACGCAGAAATCGCCAAGTTTCGTGAACTCCAAGAGCAGCTCCATGGGTTACGAGGCGACCTTCAAGTGGTCATGGGTCAACAAACGGAGAACGAAATGGTGCAGACGGAATTGAATTTGCTCAAGGACGACGTTGTCTACAAGCGCGTGGGACCCGCTCTAGTGCGTCAAGAATTGGACGATGCCAAGGAGACTGTATCCAAGCGATTGGAATTTATTTCCAAGGAGCAAGACAAACTCAAGGCCAAAATGAGCGCCATGGAAAAACAGCTCGATGAAAAGGGACGAAAGATTGCCGGCATGCAGACCGATATGCAGCGTATGACGGCTCAAGCCGTGCAAGCGATTCAGCAGCAACATACTCAACAAAAGGCGAGCTAGTTAGCTAGTGAGATGATAAGAAGAAGAAGATCCTGTATTTGTGTGGTTGATATCCAGTGTTTTTGGTCAGTTACTCCGCAATGTTTTAAATTCTGATTGAACTGGGAAATGGATGAAAAATTTACTAGAAAGAGCCCTCAAAATCAGCGCAATTTCAGGCTGAGATATCAAATCACAACAACATACTAGAAATACAGAAGATCTACCTAGAGAAGCATGGAGAGATTTCGTTTTTGGACTCGACTGCTGGCTATAATCATGGAATAGGATGCTGAAAAAATAGTCTCGTACCGGTACAGGAAACCTCGCTTTTTAGTCCTCAGGCCGAGGTTCCACAGGAAACATTTCATCGTGGAGGCGTATCTTGCCCTTGGCAACCTCAATAATCTTCAACTTCTTCAAAAAAGTCAGCGCATTGGCAGAGGTCGAGTTGGATTTCTCATACACCTCCATGATGACCTGCTTCTTGTCATGAGTCTTGCCGTCCTGCAACAATTCAACCAGTTCAGTCTGCTTTGGATTCAACTTGTTCTTTTCCTTGACCTTTTCCCAGTGATCCGCGTTTGTCTTGGGGATTGCGGCAGCAGCTGCTGCGAGGGCGTCTTGGTCGGCATTCTCCATGCCGAGCTTGGTAATGGTCACTTCTTTCCCACTGACCGTCATCCACCCCAAACTCTTGAGCTTGGTCAGGGCATTGGCAATGGTCGACTTGCCATCAATATTCGTAAGAAACGACAAGCGGGCACGTTCCACCGTATCTTCGCCCTTGGTCACGTTGATGGCTGCCACCGTGTTGAGGATCGTCATGTGAGCTCCACCACCCTTGCCACTTCTGGCCTTGTGCTTGTTGGGGTCTTCTTCTTGACGTACCGGGACTCTTCTTGGCGGTTTTGGTTGTTTGCATGATGAAATGAAATAAAGAAATGAAATGAAATGAAACGAAACGAGGCAGAACAGGGAAGGAAGAGGTGAGGTGTGTTTGCAACTTGCAAGTTTACGTTTTGTGAGACGAGAGAGGGAGGACACAAGGGTCTTCGAATTTGATTTGTGTTTTGATGTTTTCGCCTTGGGTTTCCACGATACCCGCCGCCGGAGATTCCAAAACGGAGGAGTCGTGTTCCATCCTCGTCGGGACAGTTCGAGCTATCTGCTAAGACCGGGATACCGGTAAACCTGCCTTGGGTTGGATTGTTACGCTTAAAGAAGATTTGAAGCGTGCAGGCTGACTGTAGACTTCTGTCTCACGCCATCTGGTGCGTGGTACGTGAGCGAAACGATGAAGTTTTGACCAAGAGATTCGGAATGAACGCAGCCCTCGAAATCGGGGAAGGCAAACGGAATACAGTAACGGTAGAGTATGGGAAATAGGCGATTGCAGATTCATTTCGGAGTGTGTTAAAACTGACGGTACTTATTCTAGTGGCTCGGGTTGGTGTGGGAGTCCTGGTCTTGGAGCTGGACGGTTCGTCCTAGATTGTGGGCAGGATGGGCATCGTACAGCTACGGTAGAGATAACTACTCCAGTGTGTGGCCCTGGTCCCACACCAAAGTGGCGCTGGGAGTGGGCCAGGGTGGGAATACGGCAGAGGGCCGTCCAAATGGACCTGGTTACAGTTCGAGAGCCTGCCCCATCGTGCACTGTCAATGTGTGCTATGGTTGCACCTTTATTGTTTATGTACATGGACAATCAAGTTTAAATCTCACTCAGCCGCATGATACGATGCCACAGCTCCGATGTCCGAGAATCGAAATCCAGTGGATTGCTTGTGTTCTATGATTGCTTGCTTGTTGGTTTACATGGTCTTTCCAAGACTGTAGTCAGAATTTCGTCCCTTGATGCCTTCCAAGAGATTCTCATAGTCAACCGTGGCTGTTCCTCCCCTACGGCTTGGCTCGAATATCAAAGGACCGATTCTTAAAGGCTCCTTTCCGGTATCGTACCGCATTGAGCATCACAGAAGCAACATCGTCACGGGGATCGATCTCGATTCGGTCCAGTTTGTTCTCATCCACCCCACAACGATTTCCCGTTCACCACCTGGTTCATTGACCAATCCACCGGGATGAACAATCGTGTAGCTGTAGTCGCCATTATTTTTGCATTTGTCCATGAGGTAGACTTCGGCCTTGCGTTTCCACAAGAGAATTTTACCCCCCTTGTGACTTCCATCTTCCAACGTTTCTCTGCCAAATGCATTGAGACGATTGCTGGGATCGGTTCCACCCATGCTGCTACAGACGACAATTGCGGTTCCGGGAGGACACGCATCATCTGATTTTGTTGACCGATCCAATCGACTTGTTCGGGAGCACCGTTGGGGAATCCAAAAATGGGTTTTCCATCCTCGTCTTGTCCAATGGGTGCAGGCTTGGCGGATGTGGCAATGCAAAAAGCAGCGAGAGGTTCTCGTCGGTACAAAAGGATTGAATGGCCTCTTGAATGGTCTGCCAGAAGAAGAACCCGACACATCCACCACGGCCACATTGTCCTCGGGAACTCCCGACGAACCAAAGCTTCTTTGCTTTCTTGGTGCGGACAATCCCAAAGGCATGAATTCATCGGGCAAATCTAGCATTTTTCGAAACAGTGCCTGTCCTGTCTGTCCTCCCGCACCCGTCACGATTACTCGTTGGGGACCGACAAGGCAGTAACTGCAAGAAGGGAGAGGGAGAGAAAGATCAGAGTTGGAATCATTATTGTCGTCGTGGACTTGTTTCCGTGTTGAGATAATATTTATGAGGTGGAGCGAGGTACATACCGGCGAGGCTCTCTTGGAGTCCATGCATTACAAGAGTGCATCACATCGACAATAAGATCAGCATCAGCAGAGATCCTTGTCATTGCTTTCGAAAGCAAAACCAATGAAAGTCAAAGATTTTATGCAAGGACTGACGTGTTGTGGACTCGACTCGACAGTCAATCACGACTGGCGCCGATTTATTAAATAAAATAATATAATAACCTTCACCCAAGTTGATATCTTTGGCGGCATCTTTTGTTCTTGGACCACAACCACTCATTATTTGCTCGTCTCATTTTTCTTCTTTGCACAGACCCACCACTCTCATTTCGTATTGTCAATATAATAAGACAACACGAAAAACAATACTAGCCAGCAGTAAAATAAGAAAGAAAGGAAGAACAGAATGTGGACCAACGGCGAGATGTGGATGACAATAATGAAGACCCCGTACGGTTGTATCAGCCCATTCTGTATGCTTCGGCGCAAGTTTTCGCAAGAAGACCCCACAGTCTCCTACATGGTGGAACCAACAAGAACATGGAGTCAGGCTACTGTGCCATTTGCCACAATCCCTTGGAGCAACTGGTTCAACTGCATGTCCCTACCCGTCAGCAGAGCTACTCTGTATCAGGATGCAACCGAGCTTCTTGTGTCAATCAGCTTTTTTCGGCCGAGAAAAAGTTTTCGTGTGGAGGCGGAGGCGTTTTCTATTGTCAAAAATCAGATTCCACTCTACGAATTCAGATATCCCTTTGAATTCTTCGGCGGTGTGTGTGGATGATAAAACACAGCAAACAACCACAAATAAACCACCACAAGACAGTACCAATGAATGGACGGTGGATAGTGACGAGGACAATGACGATGACCTAGAACAACAAGTGGCTGCCATGGAACTCAAGCAATCCAGCACTCTGCCAAAAACAACCAACAGCAAAAACAGCAACCATAAAAAGAAAAAGAAACCAAGTGCAGATGAAGCATCATCATCAACTGCTTTGCCATGTTTTGAGCTTCACTCTGTGTTGGAACCACCGTCCAAGAAACAGCACCGTCAAGGCGACGACGACGACGACGAGGATTTCATTGGCACGGCTACCAGTGGCAGCGATGCCAAAATCCAGCAAATGCTGGCCAAATACATGGCCGAAGAAGAGGATCCAGAAATATTGGCGGCCCTTCAACAAGAAGGAGCCACGGGCGGTAACAATGGTGGAAGCAAGAGCCGCGAAAAGGACGAACGACTCAAAGCTGCCGATCGAGCCTTGTTGGCATTTACCGATCGCATCAAGCGGTCGCCGCGGCAGGTACTCCGGTATGCTCCCAATGGAATCCCCATGTGGTCCATGTAAGTGTCAAAAAAAAGGACTGAAGGATGAAGCAGTGAGGTATTTTGTGAAAATGGATTCACCCATCTCATTTTGTTGGATCTGACCATTCCCCCATTTTCTCTTTTCTTCTCTCTTTTTCTTCTCTAGTCCACCACCTCAAGCAGTTTCAAACAAAAACAACAATAAAAAGGGCAAAAAGGATAAACAACCACCACAACCACCAATAGTGATTCCACCGTGTTCCTGCTGTGGCACGCAAAGACGGTTTGAATTCCAACTCATGCCGTCCCTACTCCATGTCCTGGAAGTGGACCAATTCGCCCAACAACAACAACATCAAGAGGAACAACCAAACAACAATATTAATCTAGATACTATCATGAGTGCCGACTACGGAGGGATGAATTGGGGTGTCATTGCGGTTTACACGTGTCCCAAGAATGACTGCAAAAATAACCAACAAGAAGAGTTTGTCGTGGTTCAGGCATCCGTGGATGAAACACCCATGAAGCGGGCGGTGGCACCCGCCGATGCTCCCGTATTCATCAAGGAAGATCAGACATTTGATGCTTTGACCAATGACGGAGATCTGCTCGATGGGGACGAAGACGACGATGATGAAACCGTTGTCGAAGATGAAAACAATTTGGTGTTCACCATGGACGGGTAACTCCTTCGCCTTTTTGGTCATGATCCGCCTGGGTTGTGAAATATTCCTTCAGCAGTCGACATGTCTCGCTGGACAGAGTCACTCCATGGTGTCGTCATAGCAATGAATGATCAAGCCTGCGAAAAAGTAGGTAGCTGGGAAGGAACAGTTCTAAGACTATACTAGCTAGCTAGGTCGTCTTCTACTATTTTCTCACAATCAAGTATTGACTTCGTTATTCCAATGATCAATGGGACTGAGGCAGTCTAGACACCAGCGATGCCTTGTCTGACGTCTCACCAGACGCCTCATCGAGGTGGTACGCTCCCTCCACACACTGCGCTGCAAATACTTTTGAGTTGGGCGGTGGTTTCTGCTTTAGCAAAGCCGAGGACACGCCGTATTCGGGTGGTACTGCGGCGGCCACCTTGTCGGGATCACCACTACAGTCATCGTAGATCTTTGCGAGAGATTCTTGCTCTGCAGGGTCCAGCTCCGTCTGCTGGTAGGATACTTTGCCATCCTTTGTGGTCCTGACACACCCAAGGTGGGTCTTGTCGATGCCGGTCTCACGCAAGGCACTCTTTTTGGAAAGCATTTCCTGTAGGATTGGCTTCGGAGCGCCTGCATCACGTGCATCCGCATGCTGGGTAATCTCAGAGGAGGTTGGTGGAGGTGCTGGTGTTGGTCCGCTCATATTGATTGCAGGACAACAATGAAGTAGAATGAATTCGCGATGAATTCACTGGAGCAATGTACATGTACTCTAGAGTACATTTGTACATGTACAATCGTACTGATAGAGCTGCTGAGGGTGGGGTGGTGTTGAGCGTTCCCTCTTTGGATCCTCTTCGCCTTGAGAACCATGAACACTGGTTGACCGCTTGAACCGTGTAAAAAATTTTAAATCAATAATTACATGTACTGTGGCGGTAGCGGTATTGGTATAACAAAAAGAGAGCGAACATCGTGACTACTGGCACTTCATTACTGGTACGACAGCATACAATAAATAAACTACAGTATGGTACAGTACGGTATCCAGTCAGGAAAAAGGTGGTAGTGACGTCATGAAGTTCCGTTTTACTCGTCTCCCGAGCAGCTTTGCTCAACGGCTCTGGCAATGCGGCCACGAATGGATTTCTGCCAGCGACAATCCTTTTTTGGGTGCCATTTTTTGGGAATGATCAATCCTGTTGAGCTTGTCACTAATCAGTGCCACGGCCTTATGTTAACTCCGTATTGATGCTCACAGGGAAAATGCTGGCTGGCTAGCGGGGTGCAGCAACCTGCATAGAACATTGTTCGAAGGTGAGTAAGTAGTGTATTCAATTCTATGGCTCCGCACCGGGAGCAGCCAGACCTTTCACATAGCTCGCATGCTACCGGTAGCATGCTTTCTTTTCGTTTCTTTTCCCCCTGGCAGCGTTGTTGGTCGTTCTGCTGCGGTATCTCCTGGATAGATCTTTAGGAAAGGTTCGCATGGCTGCGTCAGAGTAGGTGTACATGTACCGGTACCGGTTGGTACCAGGTACCACCTGCACTTTGGATAGGAAAGGTGACTGCTCTTCAGTCCCATTTGACTCCCGAGCCTCCCCCACGTCGATTCGACGGTCCAACAAAAATGATATTTTATGCTCATGAGATGATGAGCAGCCACATCCGGTTCTGGCTAGACTACGGTAGGTTGGCTAGCAGCGCCAAAATGGGTTGGCCGTGGCGAATATTCTTTTTGTTTACAAGGAATTTTACCGCTGTTTTCGTTGATTGCAGAGCCCTCGTAGTCACTAATTTGCCGATCAGACATCAAGAAAGTGTAGCTAAATTCGGCGACAAATCTGTGTCCTCCAATGGCCAAATTCAAATTCCATTTCAAGAAACTTGGCGACAACGCTTTGGCCTTTCTGACAATCCTAGCATTTTCATCTTTGGTGCAAGTATAGCTCCGACCCACAACACGAACTTTTACGCTGTAGGCCTTCAACTATGAAATTCCGAATGAGGAAACGCAAAAGGAACAGCTCTCATCCACCCACCATTCAAAGGCCCCCGCAATACATTACCGTCAACAATGACAACACGAACGACGATGAAGATAGGAACGAAAGAAGATGGGCTCTTCAGAAAGTCTTTGCCTCTCATCTTCTCAAGATTTCTCGAAAGCACCTCAATGACAGCCGTCAAGTAATACGAAGACGGACCAGCCTGGCGGATGGGAGCACCACTGGTGAGAGCAGTGTGATGCGACCAGAGCAACAGTTCGCTATTCCTGAAGAAAAGCCAAAAAGCCATTCTTTTCGGATCACATGCTATAATGGCAGTGTTCAACATTCAGCAAGAGAGCCAGAAGAGAGACGCATTGCTGAAATTGAAAACATGGAACGGCACAGTGCACCCTGTTTCCTTGGAGATGGCCCTCTGCGATGCACGGACCGCCCACCAGACAACCCTAAGCATCCCACAAAGTACAAATCGGATTGTAACTTCAACAGCAGTTGGTGCCCGGTTTCATTATTTCCCGACAGCTACAGCAACGAGTTCGTTGGATTCGACCAGGAACATCCAAACGAAGGGAAGATGGACAAGTTCGGCAGCCTGTTTCGCCTCACGAATGCTTTGAGAAGAAAGGCAGATACGAAACGCAACGGCATCCCAAAAGTTATCACCATAGTGAGTCAGGGGCCAAGCAAGCGGGTGGAGAGATCGTCATGTTGCGGAGCGGTCTCTGTCTACGAAAGGGAATCAAACAATGGAGCGATCAACAATCCTGTATCCTTTGACTCGTCCCTCTTACGATTGGAGCAGGAGCTAATGCGGGCGAACCTTGAAATGGACGTAGAACTCAAACTGGAGACACCCATGCACCAGCCCCGGTCTTCTGATCTGAACGCAGAGCGAACCGCAACAGCTATCAGCGTGACAAGTAGCATATCTACTCACTCAAGCCTCAAGTTCGGCGCAAGCATTGTCAAGCTTCCTTCTGGGATGGAACTCCCCAAGGTAGTGGACGAACTGGAATGAGCGTTCGATCAACGCATCCACTGGTACCGATAATCAGGAATGTTACAGTACCATCTCAGCTTGAGAAGTAAGTATTGGAATAGCACTAGAGAGCATCTTTCATTATATCAATGAGGATGTCCAATTCTGCTCGCCGCAAGATGGGAATTGTGTCTGGGGCTTACTTTGATCACTCAGGGATCACTCACCGTGCCTTTCCTTCCCAGACTCTGCTTCGGTCTCTTTCTGCAGGCCTGATGATTCTATCTTTTCAAGAGTCTACGAGCTAGCCGACAAGTTAAGGAAGGACTAGAGTCTACACCCGGTCCAGACGTTGGTTATGTACAGAGGAAGGCCCTTTCGTGGGATACGCCGCGAGTGGGAAATTCTGGGTCCTATCCTTCCTCCTGGCTCTTCCGGGTGTGCCTATTGCAATGTCATGTGCGCGTTGTGCTTGGAAGATAATCAAATCAAAGCATAACCCAATAAAGAATGCCGTCATTGCCACCAGTACTGGCTGCCTTCCGTGTCAATCCCGTCTCAACCACCTAGTCTGTTGATGAGTATCAGTCCCAATGGACTGTCTAAGATCAGACTGGATATGGCGACTGCCACGAAAACCCCCAAGATGTCCATTATCACTTGAATTGTCGTGGAACTGTGGGCAGGGTCAACGCCTAACCTTTGAAGTAACAGTGGCAACACGGCTCCCAAGCAAACGCTGCTAAAGACAATCAATGCCAAACTTGCCGTGACGGCCACAGTTTCGGGGAAGGGTGTCCGAAACGCTGCTGCCCGTAGGAATCCTGCACAGGATAGAATAATGCTGAGTGATGCGGCCATTTTGAATTCTCGACTCAGGAATTGACCTTGTGTCTTTTCGTTCAGGGTTCCCAAAGCAATTCCTCTGATCACTGTGATGTGAAGATAATATTATAGTGGAGCAGTTCCAAGTGAGAATTGAGACCTGCGTATGTCTCACATGCAATCGAGCCCATCAGTTTCCTTCCTTACCTCGAACAGAAGCCTGGTTGCCCGCGTTTCCTGTAATTTGAGCATGCAGACAAGGAGGGATGAATGAGCAGATTGACGCACAACAAAGCATCAGTAAAATAGAACGACAGGGCGTCTCACCTCCGGCTCCCACCAGCATGGTAAGAAAATAGATAATGATTGGATGATTGGCCAACAAAGCTTCGTTACGGCTCAAAATCAACCCTGAACAAGACTGCATGACCAGCAGCCCTACGAGCCAATAGGCTCGATCACGCAAAGCTTCTCCAAAGGAAACGGTCGGTTCCACGGGACAGGAATCCTCTTCGGCTTCTAATGCATCACACCATAGAGCAGCTTCTTCATCAGTCATACCAGCCGTGGTGGCAACATCTCCCGTGAGCTCTTCGCCTGATAGAGTAATGCCAAAATTCATCATGTCTTCTCCTCCGGATGCTACCAGCCAAGTGCTATTACTGCCTTCACTAGTACCGCTGCCGGTGCGCGCCAACAACCGTCCTTCTCCTTCAAATGTCTCCAAGACCACTCGTTGTTGTGACGCTAGACGATCATTTTCGAGTTCTAATTGTCGGATTGTTTCCCGAAGCAATTGGTTTTCTGTTTCGAGCTCATCCACTATTAATTCGTCTGCTGGAGTTGTCGTGGTAGTCTGTGGGGCCATGACGCTTGTCATTTCGGCTCCATTTCGATCTTGAAACCGAAGATTCGACCACAAATTTGACACGGTATGTCGTATCCGCATTCTTCGACTTGGTTCTTTGTGGATGTTGTTATTCGGGTCACCCATAATGTTCTTGTCATTATCATCATCGTCACTCCCTTGGCCCTTGCAAGGGCCTCGTAATAAATGTGACCCCTCAGAAGGCCTCTTATACCCTTGGCGGGGTGACAGAGAAAAACGTCCCCTAGGATTCAGCCTGGATGATAATATTGATACCCTGGAGATAATGGGACTTCCTTGCCAACTCTCAGCAGTGAATGCCGATAACAGTACCACAAGCACCAAAAACAAGTGTTGCCCCATTGGATATCTTGGCTGTGTCATCAGATCAGGTCCACTGTAGGTTCTGGTGATGGATCTTCTCAGCCGTGTCATACTTCTTCTCTTGATAATACTGAAGACAAATGGATCGGACGATAGTCGGTCTCTACAATCCTTTCATTGAGCGAGACCTCAGGGAATGTTGTTGTGTGTCGTCGGTTGGGTGTTCGATGCAGAGTTCAAGAAGCTCCCTTGATGTTTTCTTGGTTGACAGTTGGAGTAGCTAAGTGATTCCCGCTCATGATTGCGTCATCCGTCTCCCTTTTTGGAAATCTAAAGCTTCCGGATCCACAATAAGCTTCAACAGCTGCTTCAACATGATGACAAGCACTGCAAAGCAACGAGGCGAAGTCGCAGCTGGCTAGCTAGACTAGCTAGTTACTGCTACTCCGAGTGAGTAGATAGCGGTAGCCACGGCAACCACAGATCCACCTCTTGCCATCACCAGGTCAGACTAAGGCGTGCTCTGGAAGTTTGCCAATCTCTTCGAGAGAAAGATTCAATATAGGGGGAGACGCAGCCAGCCTGGGCCAGGACCTACCGAATGATGGATCTGTGGCTATTCTATCTGTAGCTAGGTCGTTCCCAGGCCGCCCAGCTACCATCACAATCACTATTTGTAAATCGCTTTCAAGCGAGCAATATGATGGAACCTAGGCATTAGTATCACCATATCATGACCAAGCGTACTGCCGTGCTGGTACTACCGATAGTATCTCATGACAACGCCCGTTTTGCAGCTTGCCGGTAGCTGCAACTCAGTAAGCGGATTGTTGGCTGGTGTCTGTATGCATAGTCCCGTACGGTAGGCCCAACTCAAGGTCCTACATGCAGCAGCACCTCCCTTGCAATCCAGTTGTTCCCACATCAGGCAGGAGGACCTAAGACTGGTCCATCACCAGCGAGGTCCCACCCCAGCTGGTCTCACTCTCCTACCGTACACCTAACTCTTGCCCTCCTAACGAGATGTAACCTCGGCCACAATCCAGCTCTACTAACGTAGCCAGAGGGGACAGCAAAATACCACTCAGCGGGCTTCAACTGCAAACGTTTTTGGTACCGGTGGCAAGCCACTTCTTCTTGGATAACGACCCCATTTGCCTGGCCGATCTATCCGATAGATCCCACTTTGGCGAGCCGCTCCCGTTAAACTTGTACCACAGCGTCTGGCCTAGGTACGTGTTCTATGGTGGTCAGTCGTGTGCTGCCAACCCAAACCGTTACGAACTTATGACTGTGAGAACCAACGCGATGCCAAAACCTGGAATACTAACATCACCCCGTCACACAGTCTCAGACTCAAGAACGCGCCCATCTATTCTCATTATCCACCTAACACTTCGCTAGATCACCCCGTCACACAGTCTCAGACTCAAGAACGCGCCCATCTATTCTCATTATCCACCTAACACTTCGCTAGACATCCAACACTTCGCGTGAGCTCCATTAGATACCATAGCAGCTGCCTTGCAAAACTGACTTTCACGCACCTCGGCAGTATTTAAAAAGGTTTACAAGACGTTGGTTTATTGAGCAGCAAATCACAACAACTCCATCTCCTTTCCATCGAACTGAAGTCAAGTGCAGGACGGGACCCAACCGAAGTCAAGACGATTCTTCCAAGAGCCTGGTTCTGGTCGACTCATATACATTAAAATTGGTTCGGTTCGATCTATCTATCACAATGGTATTAGACGTGGCATATGTGGCAGGTACCATTGCCTCCTTTGTGATGAACGGGGCGTGCTGCATGTACCAGACGAATCGCGAAGATTTTCTACGAGAAGAATTGCGCGACGAGATACGGAAGGAATGGGTGCAGCAGCGACGACGAGAAGTCGACAAGCAACATCAGACACAGAGAGAGCAACGAAAAGAGTTTGAAGAACGGTATCAAAAGTTACTCACGCGAAACGAAGACCAATCTTATACCCATCGACATCACTTGTCGCCCAAACACAACAGCACTACTACACCACAAGAACGAGATCCGCCCAATTCCGTGGACTCGCAATACATGCGGAATCTCAGTAGAAATTCCTCCATAATGGATGAAGAAGAAGATGATAATGATGACAAGGACCACGAAAGGGTCGGTGATGGGCTTGGAATCATTATTTCAGAAGATGGAACCATGGAAGATGTCTCTATTTCCTGAAGAAGGTAATCCTTGCTTTTCCTACTTTTCTGGGGTTATCCAGCCATCCATCCATCCATCCAATTTGCAGTCATTCAATCAACTATTTTGGGGGGCTTGGAGAGGTCGGTTATTTCACTCCTCCCAACCTACAAGCGTGTTGTGTTGTCTGCAGCAGATTGCAAAAGGGGAAAAAATGCATCCAAACGATTTATGCTATTCGTTTCCAATCCCTCCTCCTCCTTGGGTCTTCCTCCAAAAAATGAAAAATGGCAACGGCGTACTAAAAGGAACAGAAGCAACCTGGATGGGGACTGTTTGCTCTCAGTTTTTGAATTGATATATTATACATTATTTGCTCTTTGCAATACCGATACTTTGGGCTTTTTTATAGATTTTATGGATATGTAATTACGTTCTTTATATAAAACTGACACTGGACAAAAACATGCGGTTTTTGTGCGGACTTCGCAGCTTGTTCCGCTATGGCTTGCTGCTCTCTATTATTTGGTGACAAGGTTTCTCAAAAAGTGCAAGCCAAGTCCACGCACAAAGACAAACATGACGGCCAAGGCTCCCCAGTAGGCACCATTGTTCTCGCCAGTGGCATTTTGCATGTCCAGATACCCCGCACACACTTTGGTAGTGACAACGTTGTCTGGTAGAGAAGCTTGCAGAGAAGCTTGCAAATCGTTCTTGCGGGCTTCAAAGTCGCTCCGACACGACCTGGTTTCGTTGGGATGACGGTGCAAACCGTAGTTGAGCTGATTGTCCAGCTCAAATTCCACAGCCACATCCTCAAAGAGTTGGAGGTCGGAGGGAGTAAAGAGATCCGAAAAGGTAATGTCGTAGGAATTTGAGCATCTGTAGTTGTCGTGCTTGTCCACTTCTGGAAAGTAGGAAATGTGGGGACAGTGGTCCGAGTTCTCTTTGGCCAGGTTGGCATGAATGAGACGGCAAGACGTAGAGTTGCCATCGGACGCTTCCAATCCCTTGGCATTGCGATTGGTAATGGGAAGGTTGGTCTTCATGCGCGTGAGACACTCCTCAAAATTCTCGTAGCCATCGCGTTCGTACGAGGAGGGGCACTGATCGCGGAGGGTACTGCAAATATCCAATACAACATCGTCGACATCAAAGGTGTTGCCCAACAGACCAAACGTAAACTCCTCTGGATAGTAGATGTGGTGCGTCAAAACATCCACTGTCTGGTTGGCCTCTGGAGATGGAGTAAAAAGAATGCGGTTACCAAAGACATACTCCGTATAGGTACCCTTGTACTCGTCCAGCACCAGAGCAGGGTTGACCTCGCCTTGAGTCACATCGACAATAGTGAGGTCACAGACTCCATCATCCGACAGTCCATTGAACTGCAATCTTGCACTGTTCTCTACAACGCAAGTATTCACAACCAAAGCGTTTGAATCGTAGGCTTCTTCTGGGGTGAACAGGGCAAAGTACTCTGCAATATCTGTAGTGCCTCGGTATTGACCGGTCTGAGTGAGACTAACCAACGATTCAGCATTGTAGATGTTCTCAAATCTTCCATTAGCAGTTCCCAATGCATCGAGGAAGCTCTGGATGCACATTTCACCAGCTTCCAAAACTTGATCCTTCTCCAGACAAAAGGCAAACTCTTGGCTGAGCAAAATGCGGAAGTTGTACGTAAGAGGGAAAATCCACTGCATCCACTGCAGAAAAGAAGGAAGACTCTCTGTACTGACAAAAAAGCCACAAAACAGAATCTGAGGCAACAGTGTCAATGGTATCAGTTCCTGTGACGGAGATAGGCAAGAAGAAGCATGAGGAATCCGGATCTAACTAGAGGAGGGAATGGCAGCTGTTACCACGTTGCTTCATACCTTGGCATCGCGAGCATCCTTCGTGAATGAAGCAAGAGCCACGCCAGTAGATGTCATGATCATGGAAAAGGAATAGAGCGTAACGAGCCAGTTCCAGAAGCTTGCCTCCAATCCCACCGTCCAATAGACAATCAGCAAAAGGGTCAACACTTGCAAGAAGGTGACGAGCGCCTCTGTCGCAATTTTGGAGCAACCGTAGGAAAGCAATCGGTAGTGGTCAGTTTCAAACTCCCTGATGAAGATGGGGCGAGTCTCGATTTGATCCAGCATAATCAACTTGAGTAGTGGTAGCAGCAAAAAGCGAGTAAGTGTACTGTCTTGTCTCGGCAGTTTGAAGCGAGCCACCTCTGGTACTTACCTGAAGGGCAATCATATTCGTCATGATAAGGAAGAACATTGCACCGACATGGCCCATGAACGCTGATGAGCTTTCCAGGGAATTGTTTCCAGCGCCTGAGAATGCAATTGAAATGATAACGCTTCCCACAATGACAATCATAAATCGTAGCATCAGGGCACGGTTGTCGCGAACAAGCTTTTGCACGTCACGGACGGCTTGGACCCTGATTTCTGTCCAAAGGCTAGCTTTTGACGAAGCATCTAGGGTGTCGAAAATGGACAAGTTTCGATTCAGCTGCGGAGGTGCAGGGGCGATGAAGGAGGATGAGTTGCTGCCACTGTTTTGGCCGTCACTGGAGAGGTGAGAGGAGCTCTGAGTGTCACTTCCTTTCGACTGAGTGAAGCCGACATTCAAAGCGCTGCCCACGGCATCTTTGCCAGTCAAGGCAGCCTCTTCATCTTTGATAGCCAGGGCAGCCTCTCCATCGGTTGCAGAGTCAACGAAGAATCCAGCTTCAGTCAAAACATCCACAGTTTCAGTTTGGGATACTTCAAGAATGAAATCTGCTGGATTGTAGTTCTCGGGGATTGGATACCCACGCAGTGAAAAGTGAAGAGGAACACCTTGGACACTTCCTTGATACATGCAACGTCCTTGATTCATGAGAATCAAATGGTCAATGAGCTTGAAAACTTTGCTGCTTGGTTGATGGATAGTTGTCAAGACACTAGCACCACAATCTGCCAGACGTTTCAAAACTTCCATAACTGTGGCAGCATTGTGACTGTCCAACCCCTGTGAGCGTGCGAATGAATCATGAGGGCGCTGCCACGGTAAGAAATCACAAAATCTGACAAAAGTACGACTTACTGAAGTCACTTCATCGCAGAACAAAATGCTGGGCCTCACAACCAGTTCGATCCCAAGGCTCAATCGGCGCATCTCGCCTCCACTAAGGCCACGGAAGTTCTCACCTCCTGTGATGGAGTCCGCAACATGGTCAATGCGAAGCTCGTGCAAGATCCGATCCACCAATGCATCAATCTCCTTGTCTGTCATGTCACATCGGAGTCTGAGCTTGGCGGAGAAGCGAATAGCTTCACGAGGGGTGGCTGTTGCCAGCAGTGTATCTTGCTGGGCTACAAATGCAATTTTTCTTTTCACGTTGATCGAACTTGGGTCGATGGTAATTCCATCAAGGGTCATGGTCCGACTGACTTTCATGTTTTTTGATGACACCATCTTCCCTGCCAAAACATTGAGTAGGGAGGTTTTGCCAGCGCCACTATGGGCTATGATGGCTGTGAGCTGCTGTGGCCTGATGCTCCCTGAGAGAGAGTTCAAGATCTCCTTGTCGTCGCCATTTTTCAGCGCAGTCAGCGACACATCAGACCATGTAAGGGTCCGGCCTGGTCGAGGGGCGAATGGATCAGAGGATGGGTCAACTTGGGTGTTGTTGCTACCGTTTTTGTTGCTCATCATTTTGATTCGATTGTTTTTGTGCCTTGTTAGAGTTCTGTTCTGTTCGAATTGTGAGGGGAAGTTTTGTTGGCTGCCCTGAAAGTCAACACAACACATGCACTGTACATTCACCCACATCTCTTCTACGGCGACGGGTGTGTCTGGAGACTGCTGATCTCCGGTGGGGTCCAGAGGGCAATTTCATCGCTGTACGAGGGGGTTGTGTGACTGTTTGAAAAAAGCCTGCCAATCACACTTTCTACAGTAAAATCAAGCGAATTCATTGGGTTTCGCTTTCACTGGCTTCGCTCGAGCATGGTCGGGTACACCGGTCGCTGACTTCATTTCCAAACCAAAACGAGCTTGAGCCAAGACGCAACATGGATCCCTGAGCTTGCGGTTCGGTCTACTGCGGAGTTAGTGTATAACCATACCGTACTGACTGACTGACTTGCCTTTTGCAAGTTAGTGTATGACCATACCGTGCTGACTGACTTGCCTTTTTGCAGCTGCAGATTAGTCTACTCTGGAACCAGCCTCATGCTCGCGCTGTTCGTGTATTGTTTGTAGACAGCGATCCTTGCTTCTGTTGTTCCAACGATCGTTTCATTGATTGTTGATCGAAGCGATCCGCGTAATCAAGATCAAACAATAATCCTAAAAACCCGAAATCGAGGGTCGCGCTTGCTCTGGTACACTCAGATTTCCAAGACAAAAGTTTGAGCAAGCGACAGCTTTCCCAAGCGGCGTTGCGCAACCGAGAAGCTGCAGCAAACCACCGCGTTTTCTTCCGGGGACAGCATTTGAAAAAACAACCCCACCCAGCACATGTCACCCCATGATTAAAAACCTATTGTTCCTTAGGTGGCTAAACTAAAACTGCAACGATGTCTTTTTCCCTGCGGGTGCCGTTCCTCGGGAAATTGACACCTCCGCAGATGTAACTTGCTGTGCTTGAGGCGTTGAGGATGCCCGAGCTGGTATTGGTGCAGGGGCTTGAGATCCCTGTCCAATCAACACTGGCTCTACTGTGCCCCACCAGCTGAGTTTCTTCTTGCCCTCTTCGATCATGCGGTAGTCTTCGCTGTCGAACTGTAAACAGCGGAAAGTAAAGAAGAAAAAATAAGCTGACGAGAAAGGAATGACACAACTGAAAAAAACGATGAATAGATTCGTACCTGCAGCAAGGTGGCTAATACAGGCAACAAACGAGCTCGTTCGCTTGTACCTGGTGGTTTGGAGAGGTACTGGACAACTACGCTCTTCAAGTAGTCCAAATTCACGTCCTCTCTCCGACGGACTCGGCAGAGCTCTTCCACTTGTCCCTGGACTTCCTCAACGTGCTTTTCTGCTGTTGCCAGATCGCCATCACGGTCCAGCAGTGCATCCTTCATTCGTTCGATGAGCTTGTCGCGGATTTCAATCTCGACCGCCTGACCAGATTCTCGATTACTTTGCTTTGCAGCAAGTTCGAAGATTCTTCTGTCGCTCAACGAGCCTTTGTCAACTTCTTGCTGCAGGGTCTTGTTCTGTTTCCGAAGCTCCATGCATTCTTGTTCCCGTTCTTGAATCAATTTTTGAGCAGCAGAGCTCTTCTTCGACATCTGTTGTTGCATCGTTTGCAGTTCTCGTTGCAACGATTCGACCATTTTCGACTTCTTCGCATCTGCACCCTTCTGGGCTGACGACAAAGCTTCAGCAGCCTGTTTCTTGGCCTTCTTCGTCTCCGATAGTTCGGATTCGACCTTTTGCAGCCTGTCTTGAGCCTCTTGCAGGGTTTCGTCCTTTTGACTAAGGTCGTACAACGCGGCTTCCAATTTTGCATTGGCCTCGGCATTTTGGTCACTCATTTCGGCTAATTGGGTTTCCAACATACCCAAGTGAGCTGTTTTCTGGCCATGGTTGCGTTCGCTGGATTCTTTGTCTGCTTGAAGCCGCGTCAGCAAACTTGCGCTCTTCGTCACTTCCAACTTCAGCTTGGTGATTTGCTCCCGCAGCACACCAACCTCCTTCTCACTTGCGCGGAGCTTCGTTTCATTCTTTGCTGCGTCTTGTAGTTTTCCATCTTGAACTTTCCTGTCTTCTGCCATGACATTTAAATTTGTTGAAAGCGCCTCAAGCTTTCCGCTGAGCTCTTCGACCTTATTCTTGCTGGTGTCTCTCTCTTGCTTCAGTTTCTTCATTTCGTTTGTGAGATTAGCTTTTTCTGCTTCAAGCCTGTCTTGCTGCTGCAGAAGTGACTCAGAAGTCGACACGCTTTCGGCCACCGCAGCATTCAATTCCTGCTGTGCTTCGTCAAGCTTTCTCTGCAGAGACTTCTGAGATGCTGCATCCGCTTTGACCTTCCCTTGCAAAGTCTCCTTCTCCTCTTTGAGGGTGTTCGTTGCTGTTGTCATGCCCTTCAGTCGTTCGGTAAGTTTCACAATCATATCGTCTTGGTTCTTGCACCTAGTAACCATGGCGGCAATCTCCTCGTCATGCTTCTTCTTCGTTTCTTGAAACCTAGACTTTGAATGGGCGTTCAGTTTGTCAGCGTAGGCTTCCATGTCCTTGCGAAGCTTCTCCTTTTCCTTCTCGGCCGCTGCGATTGTCTGCTTCAATTTGTCAGATAACTCTGAAACTTTAGTCGCAGCCGCCTTTTTTTCTTCCTGAAGTTTCGATTCTGATGCTTCGCGCTCATCTTTCGCAACTTGGAGGGCCTTCTTGGCATTATCAGCCTCCTCGGCACACTGTTTCTCTAGAGCGCTGATTTTGCCCTCGAACTCCTTCTTCACGTCCTCGGGAACTCCCGCTTGTTCCGCTTGCGTTAGCGCATCTTCGAGCTGTTTTTGCAGGACTTGGACCTTTGCGTCGTAGTCCTCGCGAAGCTTCGTGGCGGCTCCTTTCTCTTTCTCCAAGAACTCTTGAAGCGCGGTGTTTTCTTCCTCGCTCTTCTTCTTCATGGCGTCAAGGTTGGCGGACGCTTCGTCCCGTGCTTTGACAGCTTCCATGAGCTTAGCTTCCAAGTCTTTGGCAGAAGCCTCGAGGGATGTCTTTTCTTCCTCGAGTTTTTGCTTTGCCGCTGTTTGACTCTTCTCAATCTCGCCAACCTTCTTGGCACTTGTTGCTTTGATTTTCTTGATGAGTTCCATGGCTTTCTCCAGCTTAGCTTTCAGTTCTGCTACTTCCTGCTCCTTTTCTGTCTTCAAGGCCGTCTTATCCTTTTCCTTCTCCGCGTTTGCTGCGTCGACGGCGGACTTGATGCGCTCTTCGGAAGCCGCAGAGACCTTGGCAATCTCAGCTTGCAATTCTTGCACTTTCGCGGCTGTTTCGGAGCCTGTGGCCTGAAGTGAAGCCTCCGCGGCTTTACATTGCTGGCGAAGCTTTTCAATTTCCGCCTGAGCCTGGGAACTCGCTTTTTCATGCTCCTGCTTCATGGTGATCACTGTCGTTTCATTGTCCTTCAGCTTCTTGGACAAGCTGTCTACTTCAGCCATTAGACTCTCCTCCCTCGCTCCTGCTTGCTCTGCGGCCTCGGACTTCATTTTTTCCAGTGCTACTTTTTGGGCCTCCACCTCTTCGGCGAGCTTTTGCTTCTCGGAGATCAGTTGGTCGACCTTGGAGTCGGCCTCTGCGGCAGCCTTGGTTGAGATAGTTTGTGCATTCGCCAATTGTCCTTGTACCTCTTCCAATTGTTGCTTTTGCATTTGAAGCGAATCAGTCGCGACAGCAAGTTTCTCCTCCAAAGCCTTCGCCGCTTCGGCATGTCGATTGTTGGTGTCGGCTATGTTCTGCTCAAACGAAGTACGTTGACGAGCTAAAGCGTCCTCCATGGCTTTGCTAGCGTCCTTGCCAGTGTCTTGAACTGCCGCTTCAAGCGATGCCTTCTCGTCATTGAGTTTCACAAGCTGGGAGTTTAGACTTTCGACATTCGCAACAAGCGATTTCTCCTTTTCTTGCAAGGCTTCCTTTTCTGAATTTAGCTGTGACAACATCTTTTGCTCATCGGCGATCTTCTTTGCCATTTCCGTCTTGAGAGCAGCCTTTTCCTGGTCCCCTGCCACTTTCGTTTCGTCTACAGCCTTGGCCAACGCCGCCTTGTGTTCATCTTGCAACTTGTCCATTTGGGCCTTGTGTGTGTCAGAGTTAGATTTCTGCCATGCTTGGGCTTGTTGCGAGAACTTTTGTTTTACTGCGGCGACTGCTTCGATTTGTTTCTGCTCCGCTTCTTTCTCTTTGGTCGTCATTTCTGCTGCGTGGCTTTGTTTCAATGAAGTCAGATCCTTCTCAAGAGTCATAATCTTTTCTTGAGATTCTTTGATGGTTTGAGCAATTTTTTCAGCTTCCTTAGATGACTTGTCAAGAGAAGATTGAGATTCTGCCTTCAGAGCATCAAGGGCCTGTTGATGACTCTTTTTGAGTGCATCCATTTCAAGTTGCTTTGCTTTGACCTCTGCATCCTTCCTTTTAGTCAGCTCTTGCAGATTGGCATGATTGGATTGTTCCATGTCTTGTAGACGCTGCTGTTGCTCTTCTGCTCCTTGCGCTGCCATAGCTGAACGCGTCTGCTCAATCTGCTGCTTCAACGACCCAATGTCCCCCTCATGCTGCGCCTTCAACGTTTCGATCTCCTTCAGCAGAGATACAATTCGTTCTTCCGCTGCCTTTGCTGTTTGCGAAGTACGCTGGGCATTTGTTGTTAATTCCCTAACCTGTGCGTCCAATTTGCCCTTCACCGTCTCGAGTTCCTTTTGATGGGATTGCTTCAAAGTCGCGATTTCTTGACTCTTCGCCTGCGTCTCCTGTTCTATCTGCTTTGAAAGTTCACTCAGTTGTTCTTTATGTTTTGCTTCCAATTTCTGAACTTGCTGCTGGCGCTCTTCCTCAGCTTGCGACGTCACAAGAGCAACCTGTTGCTTAAGGTTTGCCACTTCCGATGAATGCGCCTGCTTTACCGTTTCCATTTCCTTCTGCAGAGAAGCCGCCTTTTCTTCCAATGATTTCGCAGTCTCCGACGCAGTGGTCGACTTTTCTGTAAGTTGGGTCAGCTGCAGCTGAGATTCCTGCTTCATGAGCTTGAACTCCTTCTGATGAGTTTCCGTCAAGGTAGCAATTTCCTGTTGAAGCGATGCAACTTGTTCTTGCGATGCCTTGACTGCCTGGTTAGCGCCGTCGGCATTTTCCGTGAACTTCATCAGTTGCATCTGCGACTCTTGCTGAAGTAACATGAGACTCTTTCGGTGGGTTTCCTTGAGGTTGCCAACCTCCTTCTCCAATGACGCGACCTTCTCCTCGGATTCCTTTGCCTTTTGTGAATTAGCATTGGCACTCTCGGTGGATTTTTGGAGCTGTTCTTCTGATTTGGTCTTGAGCAAATCCAAATCCTTTTGATGTTTCTCCTGCAGAGCGGCAATTTGTTGCTGCAATGTTAGGACCTTATCCTCTGATGCCTTGGCCGCCAGGGCAGCCCCATCGGCTGTTTCGGTATACTTCATCAGTTGCATCTGTGACTCTTGTTTAACCATCTCCAAGCCTCTTTGATGCGACTGTTTGAGCGATTCAATTTCTTGTTGCTTTTGTTGTTCGACCGTCTGTTTCGCAGCAAGTTCCGCTTGCTTTCGTGCTTCCTCGATTGCTTGAGCCTTGGCCGCTTCTGCTTGCCCTTTTAGATTGTTCATTTCGGCGGTGTGAGATTCCATCATGGATGCCTTGAGCGCCTCAAGTTGTCCCGTCGTCGCTTGTTTGAGTTTTTCGAATTGCTGCGAATGGTCTTGCTCCAAGGTTTGTTTGAGCTGCGCCATTTTGGCTTCGTATGCTTGCGCGAGTTGCTGTTTGATAGCTTCTTGCTGTTCCCCGGATTGCTGGCTAGTGTTGGCAGTGGCGTTCTGCAGCTCCTGCTGATGAGCTGCTTTCAATTCGGCAATCTTGGCGTCAAACTCCTTCGTGAGTTGCTGTTTGATGGCTTCTTGCTGTTCACCAGCTTGCTTGGTACTATTGGCAGTGGTGTTCTGCAACTCTTGCTCATGTGCTGCTTTCAACTCGGCAAGCTTGGCTTGCATTTTGGATTCGTACTCCTTTGCGAGTTGTTCTTTCACGGCAGCTGTTTCCTGTTCACCTTGGCTGTTGTTGCTGGCCGTGGCATTTTGCAATTCTTGTTGGTGCGCAGCCTGTAGCTCGGCCACTTTGGCCGTCATTTTTTGTTCGGATTCTTTTCCCAACTCCTCCCGTAGTTTGGCCAGTTCGGATTGTCGTGCCGTGGCAACCTTGGTTTTGAATGCTTTTAGTTGCTGCGCGGCCAATCCCTTGAGTTTGTTCAATTCTGCCTTGTGTGCTTCTTCGCTAATGGCGCCTTTGGCATCTGCTCCTGTACTAGATGCTGTACTAGATGCTGCTTGCGCCTTGTCTAGTTTTTCTTGCAAGATTGCGACTTCTTGTTGTCGTTTCTTATCCATTTGCTCCATGGCATCTTGCAAATCTTTGCGGTACTGATCTTTGATTTGCTCCATTTCTTCCTTGCTCACGCCACTACTATTGCCATTACTGCCGCTACTGCCGCTGTTGTCGTGTCCATTGGCCTGTAACTTTTTGACAGCTTCCTGATGTGCCATGGCTTGTTTTTTGAATTCCGACTGTAGACTCTGCAGAGTGAGTTGATTGTTTTCGTCCATTTGTCTCCATGCTTTTTGAAGCTGTTCAGCTTCATCGGCAGCAGTATTTTCTTCCAGCATGGCATTCTGTAGAATTTCTTCCTTGAGCAACGCCACCAATTTGGCTTTGGATGTTTCGGCGGATTCGGCACGTTCGGTTAATTGCTGTCGGAGGACACTCAGCGCCTTGACCTTTTTGTTCATTTTCTGTAACACGGCCAGCAACTCTTCTTTGGAGTGACCGTCCGCGGCCGATTTCGTCGTCGCGGGCGCATCCGCTTCCGCTTCGGCAGCGACCTTCATGCCGTGACTGCTATTGTTGGGTGTCCTTTTCGCGGCGGCTTGCTCCATTTGAGCTCCCATCTTGGTGCCCATTTCCTGAGCTTGCTTGCGCAAGTTGTTAAAGCCACCCCATCCGGCTCCAAACCGGTTGGCCTATCATCAGCACACACGAGACAAGACAAAAGAATTAAATATCGCGTGGGATTGTCATCATCATTGGCAAAGGAAAGATACACGGGTCAGGCCGATCCATCCATTAACAGATCCGTATACCCCCATGATAAATATCATTAAAGAAACAACTCACCTTTGATTGATCTTCAGCCATCTTGCAATGCTGAGATAATGAAGAGGATCAGTATGCTATGGCTTGGTATCAGCCGATGGAGGAAGTGCACGGTCCCGGATAAGACTCGACCCTCGACAATAACCAAGCCAAAGGGGTTCGCTGAGGGATATTGGATATTGCCCAACTGGAACTGAGACTCTCTCAAGGCAAAGTACTAGTTCCTCCTGTCAGGTTCCAAGAGACAGAGCGAAGGAGAGAGCTTGTAATAACCAACGCCTTTTATATATCTTGCTTCGTTGTGGATCCTTGTCCATGCGATGCTGGTTGTTGACACGACACTGGATTGTGGTCGCTGAACTTGGACGTTGCGTGGATCTGGTAGCCGTTTCGACCAGGTCCAGACCTTGCTGGCTTCCACTCACGGATACCGTATCGGAAGGATATTCGTGACTGGGCCCGATTTGCGTACGCAGTGATGATTGATTGAAAGGAGCAACAGTGGCGGCAAACAGGAAAGAAAAACATCAGAACATCAGCTCAAGCCCACCCATCCATCTCATAGAAGAAAAGAGATTTTTCATTTTTATCATCCTGATCAGCTACCGTATCTTTCATCAGTATCGCTACCGTGCCATCTATGAGATAACACAATGAAGCTGCTCCTACCAGGACCTCCAATTATTTCCGCAGGCGTTGCTATCCACTGCATTTTGCTCTTTCTGCTCTTTGGGTCTGCGCTTCGTGCCCCGATGGCAACCGCTTTTACTACAAGGCAGAGAATACTACAAGTGCATCAAGTGGGTCGTGTACCTGCATCCCTACGGATATCCCCCCGCATGGCTGCCACTACTAGCAGCAGTACCAGCAACAAGTACACCCATCAAAAAAAGCACCACAAGAAACCTCTTTCCAAGAGCCGAAAACGGTATCTCGTCAAATCCATGTTCCTTCAGGCCAAGGCTCTGGAACGTCAAGGACAATGGAGACGAGCGTCCCATAAGTTTCATCAAATCTTGGAGATGGACCCTTTCGATGCCCATAGTCACTTGGGATTGGCAAGACTGCAAGCCAGGAGAGAACAGGCCCATCATCGACAATCAGCTACTAGCAATACTACCAGTAACACCAATTCCACCAGTGCCCGACAGGCATTTGAACGAGGCACTGCCTGTTGTCCCAAGAGCATTCATCTCTGGCAAGCATGGGCGCTCTACGAAGAAACCCACGGCAATTTGGACACGGCAAGAAATCTTTACCAACGAGCCTTGCAAATTGATTCTTACAATCCCTACGTCTGCCACGCTTACGGACTCATGGAACAAAAAAAGTGCAACCAAGCACAGCATGCCCAACAGCTCTGGGAACACGCGTTAGAACGAACCAGTACGGCGGCCTTGGTTTGTTCCTTGGGAGAATTGTTCTTGGCACAGAATTTGCCAGCAGAAGCGCGCGAGTTATATCAACAGCACTTGCCCCACTTGACTACTGACAAGGACAAGACCGAAGTTTATCTCGCCATGGCATGGTTGGAAGAACGATATTACGACGATGTGCAAACCGCACATGAACTCATACAAAATGCCCTAAAGCTGCATCCCACGTCCAGTATTGCCCATGTCGCTCTGGCGCGCCTGGAAGGACGGAAAAGTCAACAACACGGGGGCAATCGAAGTACCAAACGAGCCGTGGCTAAAGTTCTCGCCAATGCTTGTCGGCACATGGAACAGCAAACCGGCAGCGCCACAGACGAGGCCCCAAAAAAACGGCATCACGATGGAGGACGCGTCTACAATGCATGGGCCCAACTCGAAGTCAAGGATCGAAACTGGGACAAGGCACGCATCATTTTAGCCAAGGGAATACAAAGATATCCCAAGGATCCAATGGTACGTACGAAAGTAAACAGCAAGACATGTGGCTTTGCCTCGTGACCTTATATTGTTTTTTATTTCATTCTTTAGCTCTTGCAAGCTGCCGGAAGTGTAGAAGAACGTGTTGGAAACTTTTCCGGTGCCAGGGATTTGTACAGTGCCAGTCTTGCCATTGAACCCACAGCACCCACTTTGGTAGCCTATGCCCTTCTAGAATTGAAACGGCCATCTCGCAATCATAATAACAACAAATGCAATATCAACAATAACAACAAAACGGCAACAACCAACAAGTACGACGATTATGTCAAGGGGCTCTTGGAAGAAGCATTGCTCTTGGATCCACGACATGGACCGGCGTACAATGCCTATGGTACCGCAGAACTCAAACATGGGACGGCAGAAGGGGCGCGACAAATTTTTGAACGCGGCGTCCGGGCCAAATGTGCCGATGCGGCTTCCATCTATCACGGCTATGCCAAAATGGAACTCTCTCTCGGCAACGTCGACGCCGCCAAGGCCACGCTCCGAAAAGGATTGCAAAAAGCACAACTCAATGACGTGGGAATGGATTCACAGCATCGAGAACGAGCTCTCTTCTTGTCGCACACGCTGGGAATGTTGGAATTGAACAGTAATCGACCCACCGAGGCATTGGAAGTGTTTGTCCAAGGCATTAATCGATACGGAAATTCATCGCAACTTTTGCTGGGAGCGGCACTTTGTGAAGCAAAATTGGGAAAACAAGAAGCTGCCCAAGAACTCTTTGAACGATCGGTGCTGGTGGATAGCAAGCATGCACAGGCTTGGCAGGCATGGGGTGTCATGGAAATGAGAGCGGGGAATATTAGTACGGCACGGAAATTATTTGACTGCGGTGTAAAGAGTGCTCCCAATCACGGTTCCTTGTGGCAAGCCTATGCCACAATGGAAGGACGGATTGGAGATGTTGACAAAGCCAGAAGGTGAGTCTTCTTTGGGGGGACTAGTTACCGTAGGGTACGGAGGATTCTGTCATCATCACTCATCTTGTGTCTGCTCATCACTTTCTCAATTCCAGCCTGTTTTTTTCCGGGATCCGCAAGGCTCCTCGTCACGTTCCCCTGTACCAAAGCTGGGCCACGCTGGAATTGCGAGAAGATAATGTCGATACAGCAAAACGGCTGTTGACCAAAGCATTGACAATCAACAAACGAAGCGGAGCCAGTTGGCTGATAGCTGCCAACATTGAACAGCGCCTTGGAAACGATGGTTTGGTGGGGCTCATTCTGAGACGTGGGATTGAATGCGCCCCAACCGATGCGGAGCTCTATCGGGCGCTTGGAGAGCATTTGGTCCGAAAAGGTGACATTGTCAATGTACGTACAACGGTGGTGTATCAATCTATCGACGGGCGTTCCTGCTTGGCTGGCTTTTGCTCTTGTGCGAGGTGTCTCACAATGTTTTCACGATGCATTGAATGCGTAATAGGCTAGAGAGATTCTCGAGAATGGAATCGAAGTCAATCTGCTTCACGCTCCAACTTACCATTCCCTGGCAGAGCTAGAAGCCCGAGTCTTCAACGTGGAGGGCTTGGCCAAGCTGCATAAAAAGGCGTCTCAAATCTTCAACAACAATGCCCTGCAACCTGTCAATCCATCAACATCTCAAGTCTGGGGTGCCAACATCCGTGCCCGAAAACACAACAAAGTCCCCAAGGGCATTGCAGCACTGGCAGAAAAAATTGTGGACGACGACCGTAGCCAATCTCAGGACGAATATGACGATGACATGGATCCGTTTGAAGCTCTAGAAAGCATTAGCTCGAGCTTCATAATCGAGGGTGACTTGCTGGGTGATCTGCTTCCAACTACAACTGGCAACAACTCAACCAAAGAGCTTTCGTAGGTTTGGCATGAACCGAGTGTTGCGTGTGCTGCCGAGGAAGAAAGTGGAATGTGCTGCAAGACGCTCTGAAGCTGTTCATATAATATTCATGAAGGATTGTACTGTTGCTGCTGGCCTTCTCGAAGTCCTTCTTCTTCCTACTAGCGCTGCAAGATGTCTCCTGGTGGAATGAAACCAATCAAGGCAGCACAATAGATTTGACATTGTCTGGTCCGCGACCTGAGTAAGGAGATGAAAAGCTTGAAGCCTGGCCCTCGCTGGCTTCCGCAGATGATCCGCTGACTCCAAACCCCGTTATACTAGCTAGCTAGCTAGCGGTACAGATCAAGAGTGCATCAATTTTGCAATGCCCGGAGCTCATCGTAGTAGCAGGAAGAACCACGAAGGCATCATAGCTGCTCGAGCAATTGGAACGGAAAGACTAGCCAGCTAGGCTAGTACGTCGACACTGTGACATTGAATGATTTGAATCTCACAATAGTTTGGGACGATGTGAGTTGAAATGAGGACCCTGGCTGAGCTGTCTCGCCATTGAGGCTTTGGATTTCTGGCTATTGTTAGCTAGAATTCTAGCTACAGTTAGCTGGGAAGAAATCTTTTGTGAACATCCATCTTACTCCGGGATGTGTTCTGGTTACCCTCTGAAGACTGTCTCCAAAATGGACCTTGAAGGAAATGACAGTGTGGACACAAGGAAATGAGTCCAGCTGTAGATAAAAAGGCATAGCAACCTGGTGCAAAACCAACACAGCAGAACAGACAAAACATAGTTCGATCATCCTGGAGGGGCGCCCATTTCTCAATGGCTGTCATATGAATTCCTAATGCTTGACTCCACTTGTCCACGGTCAAAGCAAGGAATCGCCTCAGCCGGTTGAATGATTCCAGCGGACCGTGCCCCTCGCATACAATCATTTCGAACTTGCGATGAATAGCAAGCTGCTCCCACCATACAAGTTGTTTCTGTCATACCTTATTAAAAGAATCAAACTTTGACCAATCAATACCGGCCTCAACATGTTCCAACAACAAAAGTGCCCCTGAATCAAGATCGCCATCGGCGGTCGGGTTTGTCAGCTCGAATGACATTTTGTCAACATCCCTTGTTCTCCAGGATGTGCTCTGGTTAACCCCTGCAGAATATTTTCACCATCTGGACCTTGCAGGCAACATTAGAAGGAACAAAGGAGATGAGTCCAATTGTAGTAGACAAGCACAAACTGTTACAAAGCAAACCCAGCAGAACAGTCAAAAGGTAGTTCGATCATCCTGGAGGGGCGCCCATTTCTCAATGGCTGTCATATGAATTCCTAATGCTTGACTCCACTTGTCCACGGTCAAAGCAAGGAATCGCCTCAGCCGGTTGAATGATTCCAGCGGACCGTGCCCCTCGCATACAATCATTTCGAACTTGCGCTGAATAGCAAGCTGCTCTCGCAGAACATACAATTTCTTTCTGTCGTACCTTAATCAAAGAATCAAACTTCGACTTATCAATTCCGGCCTCAACACGTTCCAAAAATCCAGCCCCTGAATCAAGATCAAAATCGGGGCACACGTTGGAAGGCCTTTGTTCCTGTGGGTCACCGGCCCCATGATTTATCGGCTTTGTCATTCATTCAGTGCATTGGCGGCAGACGCTCCAAAATGTGTCCCAGTTGGGCCAACAATACCGCAAAGGCATCAAACGTTTCAAACGCATGGTCTTCCATTCCATAGTTGAGTAGGACGGCAGCCTCTTGTAGATTCCGGCGCAATCGAACGAGTTCTTCTGGAGTGTCCATGATGCGTTCCAGCTCTGGTACCAAACAATCCAATTGACAGGTCGCATTCACTTTGTGTCCACACGAAAAGTCGCACGATCGTCCCGGTGTTGTATCGTGTGTGATTTGTACCACAAAGGAGGAATAATCAATCCCGAGCGATGGTTGATCGAGAAAGAATCCTTTGGGAAACGGGTACGATGTACGGATGCTTTGCCTTGCGGGGATGGAATTGTCCATCCCAGACCACCAACTTGGATATGCCTTGGCGACGGACGGGTCCAGATTCTGACGACGTTGCGAGACAAAGACCACGGGGATGCATCCACTCATAATCACGTCAAAGAATCGTTTCTGGGCGGGTCCATCTCCTGGTAAGATCAAACAAAAGATGGAATTCTGGTAGAGTTCAAAGGTGGCCTGTTCCTTGTCAATGTTCCGTTCTTTTCCTTGTAAGGATCCAATTTGGACCGGCAAGCCACCAATGGTAGAATCGCCACTGTGCCGCCGAATCACTGGTTCGATATTATCCAAGACGTAATTGCGGAAACTGGGATCCCATACCCGACCAAAGATGGCCGCCACCGCAATGGTCCGGGTGCGGGTGGTCCACCATTCCTTTGGTCGTGTTTGAATTGCATGTGGCTGGTAAAAGGGATGAGTGTTGAGGTACGGAATAACAATATCGGGACAGAGATGATTGCCGCCACTGGAGTTGGAGGTTGCCAGACACGATCGTTTCCTCAAGTCTCCCAACGTCGTTCTCATGGGGACATCTCGAATCTTGATATGAGAAAACGGAGAGTCTTTGGAGGATAGAAACAAGTGACGATTCTTGTTGTGGTTGGTGTTGTAGTGATGGAGCGTTTTGAATACTTCGTCGATTTCTTGTGCCATTTGGGGTGTCTTTGGACATTTGGAATCGACCGAGTGACAGTTGCAGTGGCCGTCATGAGCATATGCAACGATAAAGGCATCCGCTTGTTGGGGATCCTGCGTCCTGGTGGCAAATGATGTGACGGCAGGTGCACTTCCTTCCCCAATGGGATATCTCAAGAATAGGTCTGCGAGTAGCACATCTTGAAATACATTTAGTACAGAAGCAAGCCAAACACAAGATAAATGAGATGAGAAAAGACAGAGTGGTCTGGTCATCAAAAGGAGCAAAACTGGATTTTTCCAAGCTAGGCCTGCTGTGATCACAATAAACATACCTCCATTGAAATTTTTCCTCCTGGACGCATATCTAGAGCCAGCAGTCCCATCATCCACACAAGTAGTCAAGGCTTTTTGGAGATACCGGTATGTAGAGGGCAGGCAAATAAATAAATGAGCTTTTGGGAGCATGACCAAGGGTGAATCAATCATTCTGCTGCTTGCTTACCCCAATCACAGTTTCCAGTCTTTGGATTCTTTCTGAGAATACAGTCACTCAAATTTCGAGGAGACCATTCATTGTCTGCAAATTGTTCGTAGACGTAAAATCGAAATGGCTTTGGGTCAACCCGTACCACTGCTTGTGGTGGTTGTGTGTCGGTAGCAGAAGCAGAAGTAGCGACCAACGAAGTGGCGGAAAAGGTCAGAAACTCTAGATCCACCGACCGATTGACACGGGACACCGATCCAGAGACGGATGCCGATTCCTTCAAGAGGGAAATGCACACAAAGGTGGCGACAGCCATCCAGACCACCACACCCAAACTGTGTACTCCACATGGATTCTTTCTGCCGCCATCCTGAGCTTTGGTACTCCTCAGTGTCTGTCGTTTCACCATTTTCTATGCCTTGCTTATCGCACGGCACGTGCGCACTCTCAAATCCGATGATGGTCTAGTCTATATTATTTTGTGGGGATCTCGCGCATATGATATGATAAAACATACATGAGGGACACGAAAACGAGGGCCTCCAGCTATCCGAATCCAGATTCGATTCGATGGAACCAAAGCTATGGCAATCGCCTCTTGACTTTCTGGTGGATCTCACAAACATGTGGCCATGGTGGGGAAACGAGGCTTCCAGCCGTCCGAGTTTCGGATCTCACGGAAGCTGAAGACCCCCCCAATAAATAGGGGGTTACATGATGTCACGGCCCAAGCATAAAACAAACGTGCGTCCAAGTTCAATCCCAGATGGCGCTCGCAGCAACTCTCGCCGCTCGCAACACCACACAAAAACAAAGAAGTCCATTCAATTTCGAGCTTCCTCCAATCAAGTAATAAGGTGTTGATGTATCATGGCGTCTATCAAACGCGACGATGTCAAGCAGCAATGGGAAGGGGACACAGAGTTTCCTCTGGTGTGTGAGACTTGTTTGGGTGACAATCCATATGTTCGAATGACCAAAGAAGCCTTTGGCAAAAAGTGTCAGATTTGCGAGGCTCCCTTTACTGTCTTTGCGTGGCAAGCAGGAACCAAGGGTCGTTTGAAGCGTGTAGAGATTTGTCGCAATTGTGCCCAAGCCAAGAATGTCTGTCAAGTCTGTATCTACGACCTTCAGTACGGATTGCCCGTCAAAGTACGAGACAAGGTACTCCGAGAGAGTGGATCCGCCTCGGCCGTCATGGCGCCCCCACAGTCTCAAGCCAATCGAGCCTGGTATACGGCACAACAAGAACGTGCTCTAGCACAAGGAGCATCTGCCAATACACCCAATGCACTCGCACACGCCAAATTGGCCGACATGGCTCGCATGGAACCGCGCTACGAACGCAATCTGCCCAAGCTGTGTTCCTTTTTTGCCAAGGGAGAATGCGATCGAGGATCCAAATGTCCCTTTCGTCATGAAATGCCGCGCGACCGCAATGACCCCATGTCACAACAAAATACCAAAGATCGATTCTATGGCACCAACGATCCCGTCGCCAAAAAGATTATCGGCAAACAGAAACGACGAGAATTTCACGAACAAAAACAAGATGAAGAAGATGACTACGAACGTGCCACCGCCACGGCGTATTTGCGTTATGTCGGGGATCCTCCGTTTCCGCCGACCACCGAAGACGATATCAGAGATCAATTCTATGCCTTTGGAGAAATTCTGGCCGTACGAATCCAACCCGACAAGGGACAAGCGTTTATCGAATACAGTCAACCCGAAGCGTGCGAATTGGCCATTGCTTCGTTGAATCGAAAAACACTTTTGGACCGCATCGTTCAGGTCAAATGGGCGCGGGCACCCAAACGAGGAGAAGTCTCGGCCGAGAGTACACCCAATAAACCGCACAACAACGCACGCCATAACAATTCACCTCCCAAAATTATCCGACCCGCGGCACCGCCCGGTGGTCTCTCCCAAAATAAGGCACCCTTGCCCAAGGGATTATTGGCCGCGGCCGTCAAGAAAGTGACACCGTCGGCCGAAGTGGCGGCCATTGCGGCGGCAAGGAAACAGGCTGGCAGTACTTCTTTCGCAAGGCCACCGGGTGTCTCTAGTGTGCCGCGGCCGGGTGGCGGTGTTCTGCGGGGGGCGGGAGCCAAGCGAAACAATGATGCTTCCAACAAACCGTACTATCCCAGTGCGTCTCCCTCCCGACTGGGCAGTAAGTCGTCCTCGTCGTGAATCGACTCAAAAAGAGAGATGGATTCTTACGTTATTAATATTATTTTAAAATAGTCGAAGCAGTGTATCTATAACAATTAGTTATTGGTTACAATATCCTAGCTAGTCTTTGCATCAATCTCCTAGGATTTGCTAGCTACGGTAGCCGAGGTTCGTATGGAAATCCTTGCATATCTTGGGCGAATTGACAACAGGATTGGTTAGGTATATATGTCAAGTTTTTGTCTCCTGTTTCAGATCATCCTTTCGTTCATTTGAGAAAGCTAGGGGGATAAAAGAAATCATTCATACATACCGGCACTAGTACCGGTAGGCGCTTGGTTCTGTTCACAGATTTGCATATGCAGTCAATTCCAGCACAACTGTACCGGTAGCTAGCTAGTTGTCGCCAGCAAGCTCTCCCTTGCTGGCTAGATACGCAGCACCAGAATCTGCCCACACTTCATACACAATAACCTTGCCATCTTCGTCGAGTTGCAGTCTGTAGATGAAGACTTCGTCCCAGCTGTTGCCCGTGCTCTTCCATGTGAACTTGGCCTTGCCACGAACCGAAACTACACGTTCTTCTACATCGACTATATAATCTGAAAACTCCATTGTTTCGTAGGACAGAAGATCTGCAATAATCGCAAAGTATTCCTTCAATCCATCGACTCCCTGAAAGGACCGGCCCAAAAAGGGTGCCAACCGCTGGAGGCCGTGCTCGAAACAACGAATATCATTTGCTCTGGTGGAAGAAAAGCACTGCACAATCTGATCCATGCTATCATGATTCGCAAATGCAGTGCATAAGGCTTTGGAATGGTGGAGCAAAGCCTCACGGTCCATCGTGGTGGATTGTTAAGCCGTCGCAAGCAAACAAACAAACCTCAATCTTTGCTAACATTATTGTGAGCCGCCCCGAAAGAAATCTTGGCAAAACCAGTCTAACTAAGGCTGGGGTTTTCTGCTTCCCCCGCCTAATCAAAAACAACCACGAAAGAAATTTGGCAAAGCCTGGCTAATAAGAACTGTTCCGTGGTATTCCAGGGACCACCCAGGATGGAACCTGTCTTGAGCAATGGAACCGGTCTTCTGGTTGGTAGCTTGGGTTGCACGCAGTACATGAATCTACATCAATCAGACAATACGGTAGGTACGGGTGTACAGTGCAAAGAGAGAGAGAGAGAGAGAGAGAGAGAGAGCCAAGTGATGAGTCAGCACAAACCCTTGTCTCTAAGCTCGCCTCGGCCTTGGGGCTGTCCTGCTGAAATGGAGCTTGATGTTCCGGATCCAAACCAAATTTGGCCAAGTCGCGAGTGGAACGAATTTGGTGAGGTGACCAAGCCTTTGCTTCCGGGTCCAGCGCTCCCTGCGGTACGAATGTGGGGTCTCTTTCAGATTTCAGTTTCATTTTATCGCTTTGCTTGCGCTTGGAACCAAGGTTATGGCTCTTCCGAACAATTTTACTGTGCTGGACTCCGGCGGTGGCGGCAGTACGATCAGAGAACTTGCCTTGGCTGCCAATGTGGCCTACCTTACCCCGTACTACCTCGTTCAAAGGAAAGAAAATATCTCAGCTTCGAAGGATGTAATAGCGGTTTCGGACACCATCTTCAAGCGAGGAGCCGATGCTCGTGCTCTCCTCGGCTTGCCAGCGAATGGAAAAGCCACTATTACGCCTGCTGGGATTCCAGCGGGGACCCGAGTATTCGTGCAGAGTTCTAGCCATAATCGAAAGATTCCAGCCAACTCTCAAGTACTCTTGCAGATTGCTGCCGACGGGGCGGCTGTCAATGCGGATTCTCCTCCTGCACCGGCTCCTGCGGCGGCTCCTTCCCCTGCTCCGTCCCCCGCTACATCCCCAGCACCAGCACCTCCAGACACAAACCCTCGGCCCAGCAAGCAGGCGAGGACTGACGACAATAGCAATGATGGCAACGACCAGGACCCTATTGTGGACGACGACGGCACCAACCTGGGCTCAAAAGTGTTGCGTCTCCGCCTCAAGCGTGAGGGTGCACGTTCGTGCAAGGCACTGCAGGCCTCGTTGATCTGGAATGACATTGCCGACTTGGACCTTAGCTGTATTACTCCGGATGGGACTACCATTTATTATGGTAACAAGGAGGCGGAATGCGGTGGATGGCTTGACGTAGACATGAATGTCGACGCCGCAAACGCTTCCACGGAACCCGTGGAGAACATCTTTTGGGCCAGTGCCCCCTCTGGCAAATACATATTTCGTGTTACCAACTTTAACTGCCACACGGATCCCCAGCGGACTGTTTTCATTGACAAAGGCCGGTCCGTGCCCTTTCGGCTATTTCTGACCAAGAACGGAAAGACAGAAGTGATGGATGGCTCCGTCAAGGATAAGGAAGTCAAGATATGCTACGAATTTGAACTTGAAGGCGATGGTGCTTTGGGTTCCTACGTCGTCATGCCACCAAGTGACGTGAAGACAACGTTCAAGGATGCTTGTGAAAAGCACAGAGTCACGTACACGCAGGGAGCCGGATACTATGCATTGGCTCGCATGGAGAACATTTCTCAAAACAAGGCCATGCTATTGCAGAACATTGAAAAGGATACTTTTACCATTGGCAAGGATGCCTGTCGGCGGCAACTGGGGTGGCCCATCGATGTCAAGCAAATCCGCAAGGGCCCAAAGGATATCCCAGAAGGCTACCGCCTGTTCGTCCAGAGCACGAGCCACAATCGATTGATCCCTCCTGGAACACATTTTCTCATGAAGGTATCCGTCAAAGAAGCCCTGGAACATCGGCCTGCATTCAATACACAGTTCAATAACGAAACTCACACCATGGGCCGAGCAGTAGGACCCTAAACGAAACGATTGCAGAGATACCGGTAAAGGGCCCCGGTCTCGGCGTTTCACCACCGCGCTGCTGCTGTTGTTTTCTGGACTAGCTATTAATAGTGGCGGCAGGATCGGTAGGTTCGTCTAAATCTTCTAATAAATCTAAATACGTTTAAGTGCCGAAACATCTACTTCTACCGTGCTCAGTTCGGGCCGGCCTCTTGCTTCGAAGGCAGGCAGTTTCATACATGCATTTGTTCATAGCTTAGAAAGGGGAGCTTCCGTGGATATTCAGCTCTGTACAAGACGATCGTCTTTGGGGTCTGTTTTTGCGAGGCTCGACGACGTCGGAGGTGGACGCTGACCGTGCCCAGCCTGACCGAGCTGCTTCCTCTTCCTCCAAAATGTAGGTGGACCGTCGACGCACGTGGTCCAAACCTTCATCATCTCCATGCCTCATCGCCACCAACTCGTTACGCAACATCTCATTGCACTTCTCAGCAGTGAGGCGTTCTCTGGGATCATGGGCCCAGCCCCCCTTGAACAGTTCTTGAAGATTTCGGCTCCAAGAGTGCCGAAGGGGTGGCCGCATCCTTTCCGCAAAAACACTGCGCATGAACAAGGCTTGGGAGACGCCAACATCCATGTAGGCTCGCTGGAGACTGAGCATTTCCCAGAGTACAACGGTGAATGAATATACATCACATGCCTCATTGTAAGGGGTTGCCACACTCCCAACTTCTGGTGCCATGTACCGTAGGCTACCAGTCATATTCGACAAGCGATACATGCCTTTGAGATCAGGGTCCCTGTCAACATCACGGAGCTCTCTGGCCAAGCCAAAGTCAAAAACTTTGATATCTCCTCTCTGTAAGTAGCACGAGGAAAGAAAGAGGTGAGCCAAACAAGACAGCTGGGATGGTACGGAGACAAAACCGAAGGACTTACAATATCAAAGCCTAAATTCTCAGGTTTGATGCTGTTCCAGCAGTCAAAGTGTCAGAGAAAGTTCTCCGATGAAATAAGCTCTGCAAACAGCAAAGTTTGGTCTTGCTACTTACTCTCTGTGGATGATCCGATTCTCCTTCAGGTAGGCCAGGGCCGCACTCAAGTCAAACGCTGCTGCAAGTCGCTCGTCCAAGAGAGCTCGGCGTTTCCGACCGCCCACATCCGTGATGCGTCCAATCAATGTCTTGAGTTTGCGCTTGCCTTCCTTCCACCTCGCCATGCGATCTGTGAGTGTGTCATAGAGCCTGTCCAAGACGAGAAAGTAGTAGTCATCATGGCTGGGTTTGGACACAAATGGATCGGTGGTTCCAATGGCACGGCACTTGATAATGTTTGGGTGCTGGAGATTTGTCAAGAACAATGCCTCGGCTGCAAGATCCATGGCTCCGGAGGGATACTGCTGCGGGTCCTGAACAATCTCCTTTCTCAGGCGTTTGATGGCATACCTTGATTCTCCTGAACTACGGAGACAGTTTTGGACGAGGAACCGCCGTGCTGCCTCTGTGTTTTCTGGAGGAATAGGTTCCACTGCGTCTTCATTGGTTTCACTGGTTTCGGTGTCTTCCTCTTCTTCCATCTCCACCCGGTCAGGTTCGTATCCGAGCTCATGCGCGAGGGGTTCACCACTGCCGCTGCTGTGGATACTGGACGCTTCTGGTTCTGTTGGATCTTCCTCCACAATCTTGGATGACATGCGCAACAATGAGTACAACCTTCGCCGACTAGCAGCCCCGAGTGACTTGCGGGATCCTCCTGGGATGTCCAGAATGCCTCGGAGCTCTTCCACATGAGAGAACCCACCAGACCCAAGCCACCGGCCCAGGTGAAGTTCACGAGCGTCAAAAGTGGGGACCTCAAGGATCTTCCTGCTGCTCAATCGCCGACTGTGTTGAAGGAACATGCCAACCTGTTCCCGGGCCTCATCGGTGGTTTCGGGATGGTGCCTTGCGCCACCAGTGAAAGGAATGGAGGATTCTTTCGGACGAATACTAGTACTGGGAATCTTCGTATCATTGCGCCTGCTCTTCACCACCGGCGCACCGCCGTGGGCAGAAGAGGCCAAGAAGGATTGATTCGAAACCACGACGCCATTGATCACGATCGTAAGGTCGGCCTCCAGCCCTTCTCCGTCGTTGATAGAGCAGGTCATTGTCTTTGCACCTTTGTTAGTCAGTCAGCCAGCTTTCTCGATTGTGGCAACGAGTGATCACCAGCCTTTTGTTAGAAGTCAACCAACCACACAAGCAAGTCTGAGATTGACAATTAGATCTAGCTTGCAAAAAGCCGGAATAAGCTGAAGCCTGCAAAAAGGGCAACGTCATTCTAACAATTGTACCGACCCTACATAAATCCTACAGACAAGAGTATACAGGAGCGTCCGAAAAATTACGCGATTGCTTGGTCTTGAAAACCCCAGCGAACAAGAAAATGGTGCTCCCTGTGTCGTTGACCTTAACTGAAGGAATGATACCATTAATGCATAGATTCCTTTGATAACAAGATTGTAGCATTGGACAGAAAGCCCGTTAAAAATGAGAATGCTACTGCTGATTCTGGAGCCGTGGAAGGAGCTGTGAAGCTACTTCGGGGTTCTGCAAAGTTTTTTCGGGCCAATAAGAATAAGTAAACCAACTAAATAAGTAGCGAACGACATGAACAGGTGACTCTTTTAAAAAAAGCTTACTCAGTACAGTACATAAAAATAATAGTACCGGTATTAATAGCTACCGGTTCACTACTGGAGATAGAACTCAGTACACTAGTAGCTGTACGCAAAAACACTGTACATGTACTTACTATCGAATGTTGATGTCCTCTATCTCTCAATTTTTTGGTGTTTGCTCCACGTGGTGCGTCGTACATGACGTGTTCGAGGTTGATTCGTGCAAGTTTGACTTAACGACCCCGGAACAACTTCAACTTTCGCGAAGATTGAAATGATTGAATCGAATGATTCTATTGAGTCATGGAATCTCATCCAAGATAGATCCATCGAGAACCTTGGCTGCAATTTCAATCTTATCAAGACTTAATCTGTTTCCTGGTCCAGGGCTAGCTAGAGGCCTTCCATCTTCCCACCACAAGACAGTTTTGGTAAAGACTGAGTCCGGATCTCGCCGATCTCGGGGATACCTATGGTCTTCATTCCTCTCAAGCAAAGGATCGAGAAAGCCTGGACCCTCTTTCCAGTCTTCCTCCACTCCCAGCCACCGCCTCAGCTTCTGCACTGGCTGTAGATTGAATCTATAGAATCATTCATGGGCGGGAAGGGCAGTGGCTGGTACCGGTACCATCGATGCTAGAGTGGTTATCCCTACATGCGGAATTGATAGTGATAGGATTGGGAACAGAAGTGGGTGATTTACGCCGACTGCTGGATCCCAAACACTGCAATGATCCGCCACGGAGGGATGGGTGGGCTTTGGCTGTGACTGCACCATGGTGATCCTTCGTCCTACTGGCTGGCTGTTGATCAGAGGATCAGCAGTCACTGTCTGCTGTTCAACCCTAGCACTATCTGCAGTGGCAACCAGTCTATGCCAAGAGCAAATAATAACGTGAGTCTCCATGTAATCTAGCTAGCTCTGCTCATAGTCATGGTGAGAGTGTGAGTGCAGTCCTCAAGCCCTACTAAGAGTCTTCTCTTATGAGTTCTATACAGTAAGCGTCCGAATAGACCTTGGACAGAGGTGCGTAGCTCACCAACTTCGAGCCTGGCTGGCTGAAAGCAGCGACTGCTGTCAATGGGTAGCTCCGTGCCTGCGTGCCTGGGGTGGGGGTTTACGATAGGCAGCTCGCGCTTCCGAGTCTAGAATAGTTCCATCACGCCGATCTTTCACTTCTGGGGATATGGAGCAAACCAGAAGCGACTGGAGAATTGCTTTAGATCTTTTTCATCCTTTAGAAGCAGAGGAGCGCGGCCGCCCGGTTGGATCTTTGACTTTTGACTCTGTACCCTGTCTCATTTTTGTTCCCTCCTGGTCGCCTCACCGGAACTCGTTGTCGCGGTGGTAGCGGCAGTAGCTAGCTAGGTACCTGGTAGCTCTGAACTCTGAATCACAATCCAAAAAGCCATGATCCCGGCTTGCACAATAAGAAGAGAAGAGCTGGCTATTGGCTATGGTTTCGAATTGTCTCATTAGTTTTGGTGCTTCGATGATGGAATTCTCAGTCCAGAAGGCTCTCTCAAGCAGGGCATCAAGCGGTTCTCGCTTAGGGAGTACTTCGGAGGAGTACTTAAAACTGAAGATGTGAGGGCTTAATCGACAAGCCTTCCCTCAAAGAGCACTGACTATACCAAGACTGTGACAGGACTTCACGTTGTTTGTCTCCTGGACTTACAAGGACGGCTTCTGAAACCACGGAACCTTGGTTGGTATTTACTGCAGTAAATCCGGGTTACTGGCTCCTTACTGTCCAATTACTGCCATTGTTGGCCACCTAATTACTGCAGTAAGTAATCCCATGCAGTAAGTAATCTGCCTTTGCAACAGTAATATCCAGTAAATGACAGTAAAAGCACAGTAATTAGCCTTTATTACTGCAATTACTGTAGTTTACTGCCTTCAATTGGCTTTAAATTACTGTGCATAATTACTGCTACTGAGGAATTACTGCATTACTGCCATTACTGCTCCTTTTACTGACCTCATGGCAGTAAGGAATAAACAGTAAATACCAACCAAGCACGGAACGCGCGGCCACGCGGTAAGATGAGATAGAGATGAGCAGTTTCGGCGAAGGTTTCTCTTGGTGGTTGTCGCGCTGGTGCGATGAGCTGGTGGATCCAGCTATTACAGGAATTAAGCCTTCTCACGGACGTGTGGCAATTCGCAATTGTTGCAGGGGCTGAAGTGCAGTACCGCTCGGTACAGTACTGATTTCATCTGTACCGGTTGGCTTCTTTGCAGTCGTGTAGTCGTACAGCTAAGTCCTTAATCAAATTGGTAGGTTCTTAGTGGTCGAAATTAGAACATTAATGTCTGCTTCCACACCCGCAGATGCCGGAGATGCCATAGGCTCAAACAAAGCCACCGAGTCATGCCATCTTGCCTAAATCCCTGTGGTATCCTTGCAGTACCGTTTACAAAAGACATAGTCATCGTCTCGACGAGCATCTTGAATCTACTCGTGGGGAACATCACGGATATTTAAGCGGTACAGAGAAGCAATAATTATGAGAGCTTTACTTTTGACCGTAATGAACCAGTCGGATCGTAAGCAATGCTAAGACAGTACTTCTCCCCATTCAACGATACTAAATCTAATTTCGTCGCATCTACGGGCACAAGCTGTCTCTATTAACTCCAATATGTCCAGGTGTACTACAAAACTCAACCACTAACTACAACTGCCACCACAGTTTTGCTGGTGCTGTACTTCTACTTTTACTGAAATCCAGTGTCGGAAGCCCAATACTTCTATTATATCCCTCTATCCATCACAATTCAATTCTAAAGAGAGCTTCAAAAGCAAGTCTTCTTTTCAAAAAAGCAAGTCCGCGCTTTGGTTCGTTCAGTTAGTTGAACACACACACACACCAGCACCATGACAGCCCAACAACACCAAGAGCAAGCGGAACGCAGGTTTGTTCGATTTGCCCAAGAGAGTTCCTTTGAAGTTCGGTATCTGGATGTCGACGAAGAAGGCGACGCCCAACGGTCACACATGTCAGCAGACTTTGCCGAGCGCAAAGAGCGACGAAGACAAGAAGCCGAGGAATGCAAGTCCAAAGGCTACGGTTTCCTCATGATGGATTCGTTTGAAGATCCAGTGGCTCACGTCCAGAAACACATTAATGCCTTTGCCCGACTCCCGGACAATGTCTGCGGCCGTGGCTTGGAACGACAAGTCTCCAACAAACATGACTGGGAACGACGAGAATGGAGGGCCAAGTGTGTCCAGAATGTGCTCGCCGCCGAAAGCAAGTTGCGATTCCAAGGCGGATGGAATGACGAAGACAACATCTGGGAAGAGCTTGCCAAGATCTCCAAACAAGCCTCTCGATCGGCCAAACGATTTGCTCGACGACTGGGCAAGGCGGACGAAGTCGTTGTGCAGCAAGGAGAACTCGAGGACTTGGACGATGCTCTCACCATGGTCAACGAAATCAAAGCATTCCAAATGAAGCGAAACTACGAATCGGTACGCAGTGTGCCGGCTGCAAGTGTACCGGATTCTCCTGGCGTACGAAGTCTCGGTGGTCGAAGAGCCAGCATGCAAGACCTTACCAACCGGCCCGGTATGAGCCAATCCTTCAGTGGCAGACTACGAAGGACTCCGGCGAGGAGTCTTTCCGACCGTGTGATCGATGGATCCATCATCCCCAAACGACACTTGGAGTTTGACAGAACCAGCAGTCCATTTGATGACCAGCAGGATGACAACAAGAGCAGATCATCGCAGAGCAGCAGAAAGAAGAGGCGAGAGAGGCGAAAGAGCACTACTTCCTCTACCGCCACTCCCACAACCCCAACTCCCCCCAAGAAGTTTATCAAACGATGGAGTTCCTTCAAGATACTGGACACTAAAACGGAAGACGTGGCCAAAGAACCATATTCTCCGCATCCCACCACCCGCCGAACTAGGCATGCTCCGAACACTAACACAGCACCCACACAACAAAGCCCAGTCAGAGGCATGTTGCAACGGTGGAACTCGTGGTCCATTGGCAACGGTGTTGCCAAGAGGGCTGCGACCACGGATGAACTCCCCAAGTCACCTGCGACCAGCTACACTTGTTCGTCGTCCAACCACCAAGAAATTTCTCTCTCGGCGTCCTTTTCGACTCTGTCACAAATGGTCGTGGACAAAGAGGAGGATACTGACTTTGATGACAGCATGATTTTCAATCGCAGACGCACCCATCAAGCTCCCGCCTATCCCCCCTCTCTGGCTACTTTGGAAGAGTTGGACAATTCCTGGACGGATTCGGGCAACAACAACGGCAACTCCTCCTCCAAGTCGTTTTTTGCCAAGTGGAGTAGCCGTCGCAAGAAGACCGAGTCGTCGGAACAAGAAGAAGGGCCCATGCGGGATGACTCTGGTGGCAGTTTGGACCTTACCGATCTCAACGGCGGCGACGACGAGTCGACGGTGGGCAGCAGGAGCACGCGCTCGCGAAGGAGGCGCACTGACGACTGGTCGCCCAAGGCACCACCCGCCACTCGGTATTCTTCTTCTCCTCGCAAGCATTCCGCTACTTCTCCTCGCAAGCAGCAACAACAGAAGGAAACCATGACCCACAAGAAACTGCAACTCCTCAAGGCGGAACGATGGGCGTCGTCCAAATTTGCGCAGTCCACCTCTGCGCTTGGGACGGTCGATGAGCTGTCTCAGCAAACACATCAGGATTGGGCGACCGTTGTGAGTGACATTCCCAGGGTCACTCGACGACGCGACTTGCACGTTACATCCAACAACTGGAACTCGGCATCGGCATTGCTAGAGACGGAACAGGAAGAGCCAAACCCAGCTGAGTTCACACCCAAGAGGAAACGCACATTGAAGAGAATCTTGAGGAGTTGGAGTTCCTCTTCCAGGTTGATCAAGGTTGTTGAGAGCCCCACCGCCAACAAGAGCCCCGAAGGAGACAACAAGCCAAGGAGAGGCAGGTTGACTCGTTGGAGTTCCCTGGGAGGCCGAAAGAGCTACAACGCTCAAGATGACTCGTCGACAGTTTTGGGATCCTCTCAGCACTCGTCCACCCACGGAACCCTCCTCATGGAGAGCCCGGAAATGGACATGAGTCTGCCAGAGCAAACCACAAGGAGACGTCCGGTCCTGCGTCACACCAACTCTACATCGGCGCTCTTTGCAGATGATGGACGAAAGGCGCCGGACAGAACAGATTCCGATTCCACGTTGGAGTCGGACTTGACTGCCTTGACACCGCCGGTCACCCCCACCAAGGAACAGAAGTTGAAGCAGAACTTGATTGTGCGACTAAAGACACGAGGAAATCTCTTGCAGGGACGCTCGTCCAGACTGTATCTCGGCCCCAACAATGGAAGGCGAGCAACCACTACCAACTAAATCATTGGGAGCAGTGCGCTAGTAGTTGTAGTAGTGTGGCTAATTGAAAGTTTAAGCGAAAGTATTAACCAAGTGAATCCTAACCGTGCCGTACAGTTCTGTAGCCTAGTAGCAATCAAAAACCCATGTCAAGCAAAGAACTGCCATTCACAAGCCGGAGTCGAAGTTTGCTAGGGTGGCAGAGAAGCTTAATGCCCACTTATCCACCGCTTACTCTGGTGTCATGCAGATGCCTTGCCTTCTGGTGGTGCTACGCTGGACTGAGTGGCGATGATCTTCCTTGGGACGGTACCAGATTGGATGGGAGCAAGAGTCCGGCTGGAATAGACAGTGATTGCATCCCCTCGAAGCAACAATGACGTGTTGGCAGCTTTTCTCCACCAGTACGACGGCCAATCGCAGATCTAGTGCTTTCTCCGGTACGACGGCCAATCATCGCAGATCTAGAGCTTTCTTCTGCCGGACTCTGGTTCCAGTATGGTGCCCTTGGATAGCTTTGCGAGTGGTAACGGGCGGCACCAGCAGCGAGAGAGCTTTCAACCATTCAACTTCAAACATGGCTGGTTGCAAACAACGGGAACGGGAAGCGGAGTGGAAAGAATCATCAAAGTTTTCTGGTTAGTCCTCTCCAATTCCTTGGTGAGGAAGCTAGTAGGGCCAAATGGACATCCTCTACTTCATATCCAGTGTGCGGTACCACGGTCCTGCAACCAGCATGAGCACCATCCAGCATGTCTATACGCTGCGGTACCGGTGTGTCGGGAACCGCGAATAGAATTATTGCATGCGGGAGTACATGTGATCGCGAATGTCTTTGAGTCATGCATGTGACACCAATCATTTCATGCACACAAACACAACGCAATCTTCCCCAAGACACCTTTCATCGAAAGACAGCTTGGATCCAAGGACCACGACCAGCCCATCATCGGAGAGACTGGACGAATGCTCATTAATCCAAAATCTCCAGTAAAGAAACCCGATCTTTCAACTGTCAAACCATGGTTCGCTACATCTTCAACCCAACTGGCCGAAGGGCAACCCCAGCCAGAAACAAGACTTTCAAGTTTAGTGCAAAGCTCTTCGTGCCGGAGCATACACGTGATGGAAGTGGCAAGTCCTTGGATGAACTATACAGCATCGACTTCGAAAACGATGTGATCGAGGAAGGTAGTAAGAGCGTCATCTATCGTTGTGTCCACAAAGAGTCAGGTGAAGAACGAGCCGTCAAAATTGTGGCCAAGTCCTCTTCGAATGAGGATGAAAATGCTCGTATCCGCCAAGAGATTGAGTTGCTCAAGAAGATGGACCACCCCAACATTGTCCGTGTCTTCTCCACCTTTGAAGACAACAAACACTTCTGCATAGTCATGGAATACTGCAAATGTGGAGAACTACGCCATCAGATCATCGGAGGAACTAGCTTGTCTGAGTTCTATGTTGCTGTCATGATCAAGACAATTCTCAGTACAATCAACTATTGCTACCAGAAACACCAGGTTGTCCATTTGGGGTTGAAGCCCGAAAATATTCTGCTCGACTCCACAGTCAGGTACGTCTTGGGTGGGCTTGATTCTCCCCTCATCATTCACACTGAATCCTAACGTCACCATCGTTTGCCTTTTGCTGCCGCTTCTCTCTTTTGCTGTTCGTGGGCTTTAGTGTCGAACAGCTCAAACTCATTGATTTTGGCAACTCTATCCAGGCCCCGACTGCCACAAAAGCAGAACGGTTGATCGGATCCGCCGCCTATTTGGCCCCTGAATCACTCCAGTACCACAGTTACAGTCACAAAACCGATATCTGGGCGATTGGCTGTGTCGCCTTCTTGGCACTCTCTGGACACATGCCATTTGATGCTGCCAATGACAAGGAAACTCTTGAGTTGATCATTAATAGCAAGAATGAAGTCGAACGAAAAGAAATCTTTCAAGGGGACAAATGGGCGTTGGTATCCGATGATGCAATTGATTTCTTGTCCAAGATGCTGTCCTTTGAACCCTTCAAACGACCTTCAGCAAAAGAAGCACTCCAACATCCCTGGATTCAACGAGTGACGCAAGCACAAATCGAAGTTGTCCAGAAGCGCGACATCAGCTTGGCCAAGTCAGCCATCGACAATCTATTTTCTCTCCAGGCACCCTCCAAGCTGCAGCAAGCAGCACTCACGTACATTGCCTCGCAGTGTTTGTCCAAGTTTGACAAATCTGAAATGGAACGCATCTACCAGGCCTTGGATTTGAATGGGCTGGGCAAGCTGTCCAAGGAGGATGTTCAAAAGGCTCATGCGAAGTACATGGAAGATGAAGCCGACATCAAAAAGTTGACCAAGGGGGAATTAAAGGAACTCTTTGCACAAGTTGACTTCTTGGGAAATGGATTCATTGAGTATAGTGAATTTTTGGTGGGTGCTCTTCCAGTGGACCGACTCTTGACAGAAGAAAACATGCTCAAAGCATTCCAACATTTCGATCATGACAAGGACGGTGAAATCTCCGCCGAAGATCTGAAGCACGTTCTGGGAGCGTTGCTTCCCAAGGCGGACACGACGTCATTGAACCTGGACAAGTACATTCACGAAAAGGTTCTCCGACAGGTGGAGACTGGCGCGGAAGGCACCATTACCTACGATGTGTTCGTCGATTTGCTACTAGAAAGCAAAAGTGGACCCGGCCGGAATCCCCATCGACGCCAGAGCGCTCAATTCACCTCGGAAGAGTTCCGCATGGCAAATGCTGTCGATCGAATGTCCATTTCAGGAAATGTCTTTGATCAGAGTCGTTTTGTCTTTGAACGAAATTTGAAAGTTTGAAGCGATCAATGAGTTGAGCGAGACACTTCCGAACTCTAGCTGGATGCAAGATCTGATCAACCAACTACATGTACCCGTAACTTGACCTACTATAACAGAATCCATTTGCACTTTGACCAGCTCTCTCTGTGGATGGACTGGACCGGGTAGATTTGCACAGGTCCTCGTCTCTTTAGAAATCTAATTCTTAGTTAGAACATAACCCGTCTGGGGGAGGGTGTAGTTTCATGTTGCAGCTGTGACTGTTGGCATGGACTGCGGCTGACCCCCATGGCGACCCCGCCGCCCCACCGAAACATATTTCTCTCTTTTCTTTTAGAATTACAAAGCTTTGCTTTTCCATTTTTTGGTTTGTTGTTGCCCCAGCTACCAACCACTACATCTCTCCAGGCGTATCAGTTTTCTTGGATCATTTTCCCGTGCGTCTGGGAGATTCAAGACTGTGCTTCCTTCTTGATTCCTATAGCATTCATGACCACACTTGAAGCAATCAACCCCATGCTTCTTTGGCTCTATGTAGTTTACAACACCACAGGCATGACATGGTATTTCGGCTGGTTTGTCTACATGTTTCGCGGGATCCTTCTTGCTGTCTGCGGTTGATAAACAACTACCCATATCTTCTTTTCTGACCGCGAACTTTGGGTGTACGATACAGAAGAAGAGTTGAGGTCCATTGTCTTCACCAGCAGTCAAGCCATCAACTCAATCACCCAGCGCCAACTCTGTGCTGCTTCACTTACAGAAGCCAGGCGGTCTGTTTCGACACAGGAGCTACCAGGCGAGGTGTCAAAAGGGATACTTTTTTGACCGTTATTTTACAGTTTCGAAAAAAGGTACCTGACTTTTCTTTGACTTTACCATTAGACCACATTGATCTACTAACGGTACCAGTATCTATGATGCTTCAACACACTCACAGATCACAGACAATTTGAAAGGCCTCAGCTAGACTAGTCTACATGTATTTCCAAGGATTGTCATGGAGCCAGGTAGATTTGCACAAGTGGTCCCTTTTTTTAAAAGAGCTTTAAAATCGTTTCCTTTCCATGCAAGCCAACCACCGGCTGGGATGGCATCCGAGATGGTATCTCGTTCATAGCCAGCCTCTAGTGAACACATTTAACTTTATTTCGCTGCCTGACAATGGCGCCTTTGGCTTTGGCCTTTGGCCTCTCCATCGCTTCTTTGGTACCTTATTATCGTGCTGTTATTTGCGATGGCATCTGTACCAGACTGCTTCGTACCGGTAGTAGTAAAATACAGAAAGATGCTTTGCAAGATGGCAACCTTGCTCCTTGCTCCTTGCACCACAGCAGGATACCGGTACAACTGTACCACACGGCGCACGGCGAAGTTGAGAGCCACCGAAGCCCCGAAGACTTCAAAGGCTCCAAGACTTGCGATGGTGTCTTCATTATTTACAAGACTCTCTCAGTAAATATTAACAGCGACGGCATGCAACATAAGGCCATTTGAGTATCGGTACGGAATGTGAATGCCAGCAGCTATGCCAGCCGTACTCCCAAATAAGTAGCGTTCTCACCTCAGTTATTAGATTCTATGGAAAACATCAGGAACGTTACCCTGTATGATACACCTGTCTAAAGAATCGATGGATTGAATGCGAATCATTCAAACAAAGTGAAGCTAATAGCTGACTCTAGCTAGCTATGTACCTCTCAGCCAAAACTTTCTCTTTCCTCTACGAAACATTGGCCTTCATGGATCATGTTGTTGTATTCATCAGCCACCCCATTGAGTAACCAAATGTGTTTTCAGGACTTTCCATAGCGGCAGTGCCATTTTGATCATGGCATCCTGAACCAATTCACTTCCACTCCATAGTCTACATTTGCTATTTGATGCTCGCATTCCGTCAAGGCCTTCAAGCTGTTTCAAAGCACCGAATGATGCTCCCAGTTCGACAAACATTTCCTTTTTCACACTTCGGAACAAGATCTTGCTGAGACAAAATATAAAACAAATGTATCTTATGTTGAAGGTGGAAGACTGCTGCTACGTTCAGTGGTACCAGTGTATTTCAGACCCCTAATCAGACGATAACCAGCGCATTAACAATTTAGTGCCCTCTTTGTGTCACTTGGGGTGGAGGCATCTTGTCCTTGTTCACAAAGTGCTAGCAAAAATAGCAGTGATCAAGCAAAGATATTTGCCCCTGCAGCAATCGAGTTTTTATATTCGTAGCAAGAAACCCTCCAAAAAGTGCTGGGCTTTTGTTTTGTCGTCGAGCTCCAAACCTTTCCTGTCTTCAGATATCTTTTGCTCTTTCCTTTGTGTAGACCATGGCCACTACAATCCCCCCACCTCCTTCCGGTTTGTCTCGAGCCCGATCTCGCGGCCTGAAGAAGAAGCTCAGCAGAGGCCTCCATAACAACTCGAGACCGAACCTACGCTCGTTCTCGCCTCCGGATGACCACAGTGACGGCTGCGACGATGTGAGCTTTCCTTCGTCTCGTCAGAGTAACAGTGCTGGATCTCGTGGCCGTCGCAGTGTCAAGTCGGGTGTGGATTTGATTGGATTGTTGGGCAGCGAAAGTGTGGGTGGCTGCCAGAGCCTCTCTACGGCGAGAGAACCCTCTCGTCATGTCAGTATCGCCAGTCTCCGTGCCACAAATTTTACAGCTGCTCCTTCTGGTGTCAAGAATGGCGAAGTCAAGCGCCGCAGTTCCCTGCCCACCGACTCGAAGCGAGGGTCCCTTCATCGTGGCAGCCAGAGCCTCCGGTCTCTTCGCAAGTCGCTTCACAATTCGAGCCACGGATCGGGTCATCTCGAGGATATTATTGACACGCCTCCCATTTCGATTCGAACGGGAGGACAAGAGTTGGACATTTCGGGTCACTCCTTTGCATCGTTTGCGTGCAGTGAGGCCACCATGGATAGCTCCTACAATACGGCGGCGTTCTTTGCGGAACTGACAGACGAGAGTAAGCAGCCAGGGTTGGTGGAGCTGGGTCCGGATTCGCAGTCGACCTTTACGACGCATACAGAAGACGTGCAACACGTCTTTGAGGGCAGCTACCGAACGTTGGAGAATGTTACGGGCAAGGCAGAACTCATGGGAAAGCACCCGAGTCAGCACAGTGATCACACCATGGAAATGGAAGTTGCCCCAGGAGTCTACCTCCCCTTTCGTGGCCCCAAGGAGACCTGGCGTGCGTTGGACAATGGTACCGCTTTGGAGACGGCCTGTATGGATTGCAGTGTTGTCTTGATTAGTGTTCCCGATTGCGAGAATGTGGTGTGTCCGGATTGTCACATGGTGAACCCCATCTTTGACCATGCAAAAGGAACGACTCCCTTTGGAGTGGGGATTGGATTGAAGAAGGATTGGGCTACTTCGAGGTAGGCAGGCATAGGTATGGCATAGCATCGCAACGGATCAAGGCAAGGCAAGCTACGGTTTCCTGGGTATGCCGTGCAGGTACTGGATACCATTGGGAAAGGACCCAGCCTCGAATCGAATCACGTTACCAAGATCCCGTCATTCATGCTCCTATCTTTTGCGGGCAGATGCCAGGTGAAGACTATATTATGCAGCCCGCACCGCACACCAAAGAATCAATTGACCCAAGGGAATGAAACAAATGAGCGCGCTTCAGTTACATAGTACGCATGCACAAATGAGGATTGCATTGATGGAAGTGAAATCTTGATTGGCATCCATGACCATCGGTTGTACCGTAGCCACCAGCTATTAATAATAGTCTAGAATAATACACAGACAGTTCTATTTACACGTACCAGTACATGGAATCTAGCTAGCTAGCCAGCAGCCAGTGGGGGTGAGATCCAACCTTGGGCAGTGTTGGTACGAGTACTACCGTACATGGTACATGGTACCGAGAGGAGCTCGACAACTTGAAGGCCATTCCAATTCCAAGTGTGTCATTTCCACAAGCCAGCTTGGCTGAGAATGGACGTCTTTCGAAAACTTGGGGTCGCCTTGAGTGACGATCAACTTGCCAGTGAGTAGAGTGACCAAAACCAACGCTTCGCCTTCATCGGCAGTTGATGCCATTGCAACACAGCAACAGAGCAGGAAGCACAGTTACTGTCCTTGTTCCTCTTCGATGATACATACATGTAGAGTATGGCAGGCAGCAATCTGTTTACCGTGCTGAGAGCTTGTGCTCTGTCAATGGCGTCTCTGTATGTGGGGTTTTATCTGGGATACAAAGAAGGAGTGGCCGTGACCTCGAGGATGCTGAGTGATGGAGGTGTCATTTGCAGCAAGAGTCAATCTGTCAATCAGGAGGATCATCTGCAAGCTCCATTGACGGCATCCGCCAATGGGGGAGACAGTGCATCCACAAGTTGTCCCCCTTGTCCAGAGACTTCTGCCAGTCAAACTACTACTACTTCGACGCCCTCGGATCCCTTGTTTCCTCCTGGTACGGGTTCCTATGTGGCGGGCATGTCCTTGGTGGATCGCGACGAGTTTTCGACTCAATTCGATGAGATTGGAGTTCCGCTGTCGACGAGTGGCACCAACAACAATCAAGTCCTCATTTTGCACGGCAAAAAGTCCATGCCCAACGACTCGACCGATCGATCTCCCAATCGACACTTGAACACCCAACAAGCTACAGAAAACTGCAACTACATGTCGCTTGTACTGACAGAACCCAATCGATTCGATCAGTGCATTGCCATTATGGGACAGTACAATTCTTATCACATTTTCAAACACATGCGCACACAACCCGCGGTACTTCCAGCCGTTCTCAAAAAGGAACTCCCACTGAAACTCGTCAAGCGAGGCATGGATGTTCGACCCTTTCATACCAAGACACCCAATTTGTCCACTACCAAAACATACTGGTCCACGACGTTGCAGCCCTATCTTGCCAATTATCAAACGTACCTCGAACGACTCAAACCCATTGCACGACAAGCCGCTTCCACAATCTACAAGGATACCATCATTGTCATGGTCAGTAATCATGGACAATCTGGTAAGACACAAACACACAAACAAACGCAAGATCGTTCTTGACAATTGCAATTTGTAAAACTCAAATCTCACTTTTTTCCCATTACGTCCACAGAAATGCTGGTCAACTTTGTCTGCAATGCCCAAGCACGAGATCTCTCCTTGGCGTCGGTTTTGGTGTTTGCCACGGATCCAGAAACGGAACAACTCTCCAAAGGACTCGGGTTGCACACGTTCTACGATCAAGAGCTATTTGCACAAATACCCAAACAACATGCCGCACGATTTGGAGATCAAACCTACAAATTGGCCATTTTCAGTAAACTCTACTGCGTCCATTTGGTCGGATTGCTGGGATACGATTATCTCTTTCAAGATATTGACATGATTTGGTACCGACATCCGCTGGAGTATTTTCATAATAGCAACAACAACAAACAGCAGCCGTTAAAGTTTGACATGTACATGCAAACCGACGGCAACATGGCGCAATTCTACGCTCCCTACTCGGGCAATACCGGATTCTATTACGTGCGCAATTCACAAATCACACAGTACTTTATGAATCACTTTTTGGTCAGTGGCGACCTCATTTTGAGTACATCCACCCATCAGGCACCCTTCTTGACCGTCCTCAGTGAACATGCATCGTTGCATGGGCTCAAGGTCAAAATTCTATTGGCGGATGAATTTCCGGGGGGAGCCCATTACAATCGAGATTACAAGTACATGAAGTATCTCATGAATGTCACCCAACCGCCACCTGGAGTGACTATTGATCCGTGGATTTTTCACATGAGGTAGGTATACAAACATCCAAAAGAAACTTGTTTTTTTTCTCGTTTGGGCGCGCTCCTTGGATCCAGTAATCGAAACTGACAACGTTGCTTTGTTCTTTTTGCTGTTGCTATTTAGTTGGACGGAGAGCAAGGCCAATAAAATTCTGTTTTATCAACAAATGGGAGAATGGTACGTTCAGGATCATTGTGTGGGTAGCACCGTGACGGATATTCTGGGCCAAGAAGGAGCAGCAAGCACGGTACCAACGGAGACGATAGAGTTGCCGGCGAGTCCGTTCCGTGGTGGAGCCACACCCCTGACGAAGAAATGCTGTACCGCAAAACCGAATATCAAGTGTCATTTCCGTGATACACCCAGTATTATTCCGTGTCATGACTCGCCCGCCATGAACAAGGGGAGAGAATCGTTTCATCCCATCAAGAAATAAAAGAGAATACAGCAGGATTATGAGGAAGGTCAAAAGTCAAATCCAACTACGAGCTGAAACCTTGGATTGCGAGACCTTGCGCAGGATGTGGTTGTTACCCGTCAATCAGCCTTGCCAGAGCACCCGGGGGAGATGTGAGGCTGCAAAAGTTTGCCAAAAGTTTGCAGCCTCGCCCAGATCGAACGCAAATGGCGGACAGACTACAGTACCGTTAGCCTGCATAGGTGCTTCGACTCTGGAAAACTACCGCGACCCAGTTCTCGACACGGCAGGACGTGTAGGTATCTACGAGTAGCCAGTTGTAATGGAATATGGCAAAGGGCTTCGAAAATAGCGCGGACAACTCTGTGATGTAATCTACTTTTGGGAGTACTGTAGCTGTAGTCCAGATAGATCTGGCAATTGGGGTTTCAGCTGTGCCATGAGCCACTCCAACAACTCGAGTTGCAGGATCCATAAAGACGACCCCAACGTGGACACTGCCACGACGATGAGACGGCACGGATAGGAGGGGGGAAAAAGCACCCCCCAGAGAAGACAAGAAGCAAAAGAACAACACCAGGGATTCCAACGTGGTCCCCCACCGTAGTACTAACCTGGCCCGACGATGCTTAACTTCGCTGAGCAGACGGGAAGCGGTGCTGTCATCGTGGTATGGTCGTTCCTGACAATGGAGGAGTCATCCCTTGTTTTATAAGAATGGCAAGACCCTGTCCACGACGACGATGGTATTGTTGCGTTGGATTCCTTGATGCGTGGCTCAAACTAGCTAGCTCGACTACAGTAGCTAGTAGCAAACATTGCCGGGATCTGCTGGTGTTAGGACATCAAATGATACAATTCATTCCTTCTCGTTGCAGTTGTCAGCCTTGAGATTGATGTTCGTGCTGGTAGTTGCGTCTCGTATCAAATCATAATCCAATTCGATATCCTTTGGTAGCCACGGGCGCATCCTTGTTTGGCTTGAGTGAAATAGTGATTGGCACTGGCAATCCCGAAGGTGGATTGGCCCCGAGCACTTTCCATAATGGCTTGGAAATGGCCCATCCCAAGACAATGGTGGCTGGCCATCTTGATTTGGCATAGAGACACAATAGATTCAATCCGAATCCCACGCCAATGGTAGGATCAAAGACGTATTGAAATGCCGTGGTCAATTGCAAGGCTCGTAGCGCGGCTCCAATGGCAAAGGAGACGCGTGGCTTGAGTCGGGCAAAGAAGAAGAGGGTCTGGTAGGTTTTGGCCAAGACGCGAATGTGTTGCGCGGATTGCATGTGTGGCGCAAATTCCACCATGTGCGAGTAATCGTTGAAAAAGACCGCCAAGAAGGGATTAAAGGCCGAGAAAATGTACAACGTTCGAGCCCATGCTCGTGGCACTATCAAATGGACACTCCGTCGGTCGTTCTGATCCGAGTTTTCGTTGTTATTATTGTGAGAATCTTTGCAGTTGCTTGTGTGATGAGGATGGTGGTTGCTGAATGGATTGCCATGGTTGTTGGAACCTCCGCCCAGAGTTGTCGACGAAATTGTGAACCTTCTCCTGCCGGTATCCATGGGAACAACCGTTCGGAACAGTGGTAGAGAGAGAGATCCTCGGACGACAACAAAGAGGACAAGGATAACACTACTTGGGGTCCTCGACGAAAACCTCATGGCTCTTGCCTACCGTACCAGGTAGCTACCAGGCTAGCACTAGAAATTGGACTTGTTGCTTCTTGTTTTTATGACAAAAGGATGATGCTGCACAGAATTGTTTCGTGTCATTGAAGAAGACAGCGTGGCGAGGAGGCTAAATATGATATCCTGATCAACTGTGCGACCTACCGGTATTGAACCACCGGTACCGTACCGGCACCACACAGTGCATTTAGGGCAGGAAGGTTCGGTCTGAGGTCACTTGGATCTTCACCCGCTCCGCTGGCCAAAAACGAGTGCTTTACTCGCTCTGTTTCTCTTCATCTTTAAAGGAATTGTCTACTACTACAACAAATCAAAAGTGGTTTACTATTATTCATCACTCCCATCAACCCATCCAGGAAGCAAGTGTTCTTAGAAGCAAAGCAGGGATCAGGGAAGGCTGCTGGCACAGGATGAGTAACCGAGGACTGGTGACGGAAACTGTGGCTTGTAGTTACGGGGACTGTGTCAGGATCGGTGAAAACAAAGTCAAAGTGGTTGGAACTGAGACCATAGTCTTTGTCGACAAGAACGACACAATTGGAATTGACAAACTACATGAGCTGTCGTCCCAGCCTGTAGCTGTCGTTCCAGCTTGGAGTGGTCGTCCCCACCCAGCTTGTAGCTGTTGTCCCAGCCTGTAGCGGTTGTCCTAGCCTGTACCGGTAGCGGTCGTCCCAGCCTGTAGCTGTCGTCCCAGCCTGTAGCTGTCGTCCCAGCCTGTAACTGTCATCCCAGCCTGTAGCTGTCGTCCCAGCCTGTAGCTGTCGTCCCAGCCTGTAGCTGTCATCCCAGCTTGAATCTGTCATCCCAGCTTGGAGCGGTTGTCCCAGCCTGTAGCTGTCGTCCCAGCCTGTAGCTGTCGTCCCAGCCTGTAGCTGGCATCCCAGCTTGAAGCTGTCGTCCCAGCTTGAATCTGTCGTCCCAGCTTGGAGCGGTTGTCCCAGCTTGGAGCGGTTGTCCCAGCCTGTAGCTGTCGTCCCAGCTTGGAGTGGTCGTCCCAGCTTGGCGCTTAACCGGCTATTTAGATTTGTATGTTCTTCACCAAATTGTTACACTTGGCCAAATCCTCTAAGCCAACTACCGACTTGCCAAAATCTACCACCACTCACTTGTGCAGCTCTTGTGCATTGAGGAGAATGGGTAGGACCGACACAGGAATTACCAACTAAACCCTGCTAATGGTATTAATAGTAGCTACTGAGTAGGAAGTATCAAGGTGAGATGAAGCCACTAACACCACCTCCAGCCACGTGGGAGTTCCAATCGCGCTTATTAACAAGGGACCCAAACCCCCACTTTACAGTGCACCAAACAGTACACAAGGTGACTCACAGAGAGGAAAGTAAAGTTCCTAGGGCTCATTCCATAGTGGTTGGCTTGCAGAAAGAACATCCAGCTATGACGTACGTTTGAAACTGTCACGCGTACTTAAGCCCGTGCTGGAACAATTGTTTTTCACTCTTACTGGTTAGTTGAAAGATATAAGGTTGATACATCATTATTTGGCTTCGAATCCTGTATAGGCACGTGGTTGCACCCGTCTTACTAGTAACTCATTTACTATACGAATTGAGTACGTTTCAATACTCCTTGACACATGTCTCACCTCCGTGGTTACTTAAACGTATGCAGCATTGGTCTAACGTACTGTATAATGAAAATAAAACTGATAAGTACGATCGATATTTGCAAGCACGTGTAGTAAAAGTAGGATAGTGCTTTGGGAACACGATAATATTATGAGACTCCGAGTTACTGACCCACTTTCAGAACTCAATGCACCACGGTAGCGAGAGTGTGTTATCCATAGATCTATACAGCGTACCGGTAGCAGCGTAGCACTGGAGCTGTGTTTCTCTCATGTTTCGCGCAGATGCCCTTCTACATGATAAGCTAGATAGTAACACGAGGAGTAGAAAGGCTACCACGGTGGAACCTTCGGGCCACTGTTTGGCTGAGTACTGCTAGCACTAGTGTATCTCTGCATCTCTGCTCCTCTCTCAAAACAGCTCTCAAAACACATTTTCGTCAAGGTAATTCTCTGTAGTCCTAGAAATTCCTCTGTAATCATGTCAAATCCCAGTGTTCTTCTATGGAAAGCATGTTAAGGCTTCGAATCATTCAAACCATGACCATCAGAGATGGTTTAAAAGTAAGACCAGGATTTCATTTCACTCAATCAACACAAATTAGTAGTGCATGCTTTAACCCACCACAAGCACTTCAAGAAGGCCTCTTAATTGCAGAATCAGCTTTTGTACTCTTTGCCCCTATTCAAAAGAGCCAAAGTAAATTGCACGAGCCACCCCCAGACCCCTTTTATGTTTAAATCGTGAGGTGACCTCACGAATTGCCTCCCCAAAAGCAAGTTGATGGCTCACCAACCGCAAAAAGAAGGGAGAAATCTCATTTCGTCGCGGCATGGGGGCAAACAAGAAGGGAAAATGTAGCCTTCGAAGAGCAAGCATACATGTGTACTGTGTTGGATAGACAATGTCACTTTGGTTTGGTTCGGGGATGGAGGTAGGGCTCTTTAGTTTGGTTCTAGTGAACTAGCTTTGGTTCTTGGGACAGGAAGGTCATGTTGTTGGTCTGCGAGTAGTGGGTCTTGGTGTGGGACTGGCTTGGTAGTCAGTTCTTTTTAAGATGAGGAGTTATCCTGCCCCAGGCTCTTTTTCTTGTTGTGTTGTTTTTGAGGATACTATACATGCACTACTAGTACTAGCTACCGGTAGCATAGTGGTATCATCGGAACCCCGTCACTTTCACTATCCCGGGTATTCGAAAGTTTCCCACATACAGAGCATCCTCTTTGATAATGGCAACAGTTGCTTGTCCCTCCATAGTACCACTGTATACTTCCTCCAGTGTATCATGCTTCCAATTGTATCGCAAAACCGTAAAGTCCAAGTTACATCCTGCTCCCAGCACACCACAGGCAGACGCCTGGGCAAAGCTCGAGTCCAGGCGCGTGATCAAGAACGTATTGGTCCTTCGGCCCGTTGCCGTATACTCACGGCTCAGATTGTCGGGAGAGGACGTATCCGAAAGCTTCGGCAAGTGCTCCACAGTTCCTGTCCGATCGTCCACCACAACGACCCGATTGTTGGGTGATTCGGCTACAAAAATGGAATGGCGAAATCCTTTCCCAATGCCGTACATAACTCCATTGGGTCCATTCAAGTTGTCGGTCAGTGTCTCCACATTCCCTCCCGCTGTCACCAACTTGAGACTGCCATCGCCACCGGGTTTTTTACGAAAGAAGGATTTGGCAAAGTTCAATTGTCCCTGTATTCCTAGATAGGAGTCGTACCACATGGTAACGGCCAACTTAGTCTTGTCCTTGTTGTAGCTCAGATTGTTGTGGACATCTCCCTCTGTGAGTCTGGTACAGCCAATCTGTTGGAGGGTGGGCAGTTGTGTATTGACATCGTCGTTGCCAAAATTGAGCAAGAAAAATTCAATGGATTCGTATTGATTGTGGTTCAAAACAGCCACTTCCCAGGAGAATGGTCCATCTGGATTATCATAGTCATGGTTCTGGTAGACATCCACTCCGTGGGAACCTATTCTCCGCAGTCGTTTGGGTTGGCATGTGGGATCGGCAAAGGGGGAAAGGTTGCTACTCTCGTCGTTAGATTTCTGGAGAGAGGCGAATTTTATTTTTCGTTTGGTTTCTGTATTTAGAAGAGATAACTCGCCAATGGATGTTCGATCCAGAGTGGTTTCTGGCCAACTGCAGATGACAATGTAGGGAGTTCCAAAGAGATCGACCATATCCTCTGGATTCCGAAACCCGCCATTGTTGTTCAAAACACTTTGTCGTTGGCCCAAATTGCGGCCTCGGATAGATCTTCCGTGGACACGAAAACAGCCCCAAACAAAGAAGAGCAGGACTTGTAGCTGCTGTGGATGCATGGTGTGGAGTTTTGACTGTGCATGTAGTTGTGCTCCATCCAAGCTCGTTCGAGGTGTGGCACAACACCAAAAACCTTGTCAATTTGAAGGTTGATTTTGTGAGCGGGTTGCCTCCATCGCCGGTGCCCTAAGTAGCGATACCGGTACCGAACTCCCCTAAGTCTTCGGGAAAGAATTCTAACCCAAACTAAAGCTCTAACCCTACGGAGGGCTCTGACTCAGTGCAGTTCGTGGTCCTCATCCAATTTCCTCTTCAAACTGCATCCACTGGCCGTCTGTATCCTTGGAGGGTGCTGTGGTTGTTGTTGTTGCATTTATTATTTGTGGACCGGTAAAGTCTGTTGAGAAAATGGCATCCTCTGGTTGGATCCGTGTGGCTGCAGGGATTCGTCTGGTGGCATCAGCAGCAGCAAAGCAAGCAAGTCACGAAGCCACCAGTGTGGCCGCTCGAACGGCCCAACATGGAGTGGACTTGGCAGCGAATCTGAGGAATGTAGGAGGAGTCATGCAACAACAGCCAACAGCAACGACTCCCCAACCACCAAATAATAATAATGAAAGCCACAATCCACCAACAGTCAATGGCCACCAAGCAGCGAGTCTGAACCCAGAATCAGAATCAAATAATTCAGATGATGATCCAATGCTGGCTTCTACTACTGCCACTCATCATAATGTACACTCAGAACAAGAACCACCAGCACCAAAACCACCACCGATCAATCCCTTGTTTCATGCCCCCAAGGCAGAGTCAGTAACTCCTCTAGTAGAGCCAGAACCCCAAATAGAAGACTCACCCGTGAAGAGTCCGCCTGAACCACCAGAGTCAAGAATGACAAATAATCAAGAAAATAATGATCCAGACGACAATGAACCACCTCATACGGACTATCAACGACTACAAGAAGGAAAGGCAGTACCTTCCACCCGAGTGGGTCGAGCCATGGGATTTGCGTCCCTGGGGATTGGACTGACCGTGGGAGCACTGGGAGAAGGATTGGGACGTTTGACCGGTACTTCTTCTTCCGGCAGTAATATTGTCATGAATGACAGCAATGCCGATCGATTGGCGGCATCACTGTGTCGGATGCGAGGAGCAGCTCTCAAAATGGGACAAATGCTCAGCATTCAAGATGAATCGTTACTGCCGCCGGAATTGACGCGAGCACTCAAACAAGTGCGACAAGGAGCCGATGCCATGCCCGACTATCAACTCCAAGCCCAGCTAAAGGCGCAATTGGGTGACAAACAACAAGAACCAAAGTTTGTCAGCTTTGACAAGTTGCCCTTTGCCGCTGCCAGTGTGGGACAATGTCATCGCGCCAAAATAGTAATTGATGATCAAAATCAAAATCAACAACCAAAAGACGTCGTGGTCAAGGTGCAATATCCCGGAGTGGGACAATCCATTGAATCGGATTTGAAAAATCTCGCCATGTTGGTACAATGGACTGGAGCGGCACCCAAAGGGCTCTTTCTAGACAATGTCATTCGAGTTGGTACAGAAGAATTGAAAGTGGAATGCGATTATCTGCGGGAAGCAGCGGCGCAGGAGCGAATGAAACAACTGGTGGAAGCCGATCCCATTCTCGTGCAAAACAGATTTGTGGTCCCCGAGGTATTTCATCACTTGACCACGGAACAAGTCATTACGACGGCCTTTTGCCCCGGTGGGACCATTGACAAAGTATCTCATTTGGATCAAAACGAACGCAATCGTATTGCCCGAACCATACTCTATTTGACCATCCAGGAACTCTTTGTGTGGAGATTCATGCAAACAGATCCCAACTGGGGCAACTTTCTGTACGATGTGGGGACGCAAACCACTTCGCTGATTGATTTTGGGGCAACGCGCGAGTACAGTAAGGAGTTTGTTGATGGGTATCTACGGATTGTGTGGGCGTCATCCAATAAAGATGAAGACCGGCTCATGGCGCAGTCCTACAAAATGGGGTTTTTGACTGGAGAAGAGAACGAGATCATGTTGCACGCACACAAGCAGAGTGGTTATACTGTTGGAGAACCCTTTCGTACTCACGAACCGTTTGATTTTCGGGGCTCCCAGTTGAGCACTCGAATGGGACAACACACGTCCGCCTTTATGAAGCATCGGCTCACGTAAGAAGTACCGTAGCGAGAAAAGAAGACCGCCAAGGCAGTGGACTGAGCTCGAAATGGCACCGCTTCCTCCTGCGCCGATCTGACCATATTTTTCTTCTTCTTCGTCTCTCCTTGTAGGCCCCCACCGAATGAAGTGTACACACTTCATCGAAAACTAGCTGGTGCCTTTATGCTATGTATCAAACTGGGTGCCGTGATCCGTTGTCGTGACCTTTTGGAAAATGTCATTTCCAATCATGTTTTTGAGGACGGACTGGATCCTCCAGCGCTACAGCAAGGCATGCAGCCGACCAGCCAATAGCAACTACAAGATAGCGTAACTGTAACCTCAAGCTAGTTCAATACCGGGAAAGTAGAATGCATTCATCCTATGCAGAGACTTCGCGTCGTAGCGGCTGCTGCGCATGTGGACGTCTTTTTCACTTCAACCCAGACGAAGAAGTCGTTGAGAAGTGTGCTATGTAGGCGTCAATAGGAGCAAGTCAAAATGGTACAAAACATGTATTAGAATTGTTAGCTGTGAAATTTGTACCAGTAGTGTGCAGAATTATGACACATTGGAGATGCAAAAGTTGTGATAGAAATAAATGAGATGCGGGAAGTAAGAGCCTTTTCACCTCCAGATGCCAAGTCGGTCAGCAGCGGCTTCATTACGATGCACTGGTTCTGGCTGAGCCTCTACTTGATGTTCTCTTCAATCCTTTGAAGAGCAACGAGGAAACCCTTTGGATGTTCTTCATCTCGGCAAGTTCGGGCGTTGCCATAAGGAAATCCTTGAAATTGAAAGTCTCAAGCCTTTCATCATGGTCCATGTCCTCCTTCAGATTTCCAATGATCTCCATTTCAATTTCATTCTCGGCCTGGGCACACATCACCTCGACCCTCGACACAAAGCCGTCTTTGTCCCAGTCCAGTCTTTCGAATAGCTTTCGGATCTCTTTCTTGGAGAACCAGTCTCCGATGATGTTGGCCGAGAGTCCCGTCTCAACTCGAAATTCGTTGGCAGTCTCGAGCTCGAGAACGTTGAAGATTTCCTCGAAGAATGTGTCTCGATTGTCTTCAGGTGGCATGCCCTCAACAACAAGTTCTTCGTAGAAATCTGGGATGACATTGTGGGTATCGTTGAAGCGTAAGTTGAACGTCTGGCGATCCACAACCTCCGCACGAACCAAGTCCCAGCATCGGATACTGGGAACTGGCATGGGCTTCGCAAGCGACGAATAGAGCTCTTCGAACGCCATGATCAATCTGTAAAACATTCGTGAGTAGAGCGGTTGTTTCGACTTGAACACAGAAGTCTCTCGGATTGCCTTGGACGCATCGACAACAGCCATTTTGCATCGAGTGAAAAAGTGATTGCTCGTGCCAATCATTCGGGATTCCAACATGGATCTCTCTTCATTCTTCACGGGGCGAAGTGCCGCTGTTACCCCGGGGACTTTGAAAGGTTTGCCGTGTTTGTGACCTTTGATGATAGGAGCAACTGAATACATCTTGTTTGCAATTTCTCGAGCCGCGCCGTGCTTGGCAAAGTAGATGCGATTGAACATGCGGCGTCTGGTTTCGGAATCTTCCACGAGAGTAAGTAGCAACTCCATGAACTCGCGACCAACAATGCCTTCCCAGACATTCTGCACTTTGCCATAGCTGTCACAAAGATTCTTGAATAAATCTTGCTTTTCTTTGTAAAGATTAACACAATTCTCTGCACGAGTGCATAACTCCAAATATTGCATAAGCCCGTCTTCATCAGTGGCTTCAAAAGGCCCAACTTCGTAAGCCGAGATTTGTGAATACACCATGCGGTCCTTGTCGTGACTGACTCGTTTCCAAAAGTCTGTACAGTCTGTTCCAGCAACGTAGTGAAGGATTTTTCTGCCACCCGGATGCCACTGTGACGAGAGAGGAGTGTAGCAAGCTGATAAGGGTATTGGTCTTTTCAATTATCGAGCCATAGCGACACCCACGAGCACATACCTGAAGATAATCTGTGAAGTCATACACTTTTCCTTCGATGATAGTCCAGTAATCACTCATCTTGTTGTGGAAGCAGGTCTCGGTCAGTCTGATTGGCCTAGTGTCGGCTTTGCCGTCGATGCCACCCCGTGCCTGAACCTCCAACTGCAGCCTGTTTGTTCGAACCAAAGTCTCCACTAGACCGTCGTCAATCGAATCGAGCGCAAGCCTCACTGTCTTGAAAAACTCGTTGTTACCACAGACGAAGAAGCTTGCCTCCATGCCTCCCTCGTCGATGGGTGCGGCCAGCTCACGAATCAGCTCTTGTTCGTCTAGAAGGAGTTTGTCGATATATCTCTTTGCAGTGGGCCGTCTCTTGATCTTTCGATGTTCAGTTACGACGGTTTTCTCCTCCCGACTAAGCTCAATGTAAAGTTGCAGCTTTCCATAGTTCACAGCATCCTTGAGGTGAGAATCCAAGTAGGGAACCGTGTTTTCTGTTCTGTACGCCATGAACGCATACTTTGGATTCAGGATTTTGTTGTTGGCAAGCATTGGGAGGTACGTTCCAAGACCAGACCCTGCAGCAATCACAACAAGAGGACGGGACGAGTCCGTTGGAATGTGGCACTTGATAGCTGTGCTGAGGCCAAAGGATATCTCAGTACCCACTGACTCATGCAAGAAAGCGGAGCACCCTCCTGCGTTTGTCCTGGTCACAAGTATGTCGAAAGACGCCACGCAGCCATCCTGTTCGTGCGTCGTTGGGTGTACCGTTGCAAATGAGTACAATCGAGGTTCCTCGGGGTGCAAGTTCTCACACAAGTCTTCCACTGGGAGTGGGCCAGCATTATATTTGCTGAGTTTGGCGCACATGAGGAGATTGTAAACTGTGTGATCGAGACCGTCAAAGTCAAGACGCTCTTGCCATTCTCGGTTCAGCGTACGGTTAACCATGTAAAGCTTTTGTTGCAAGTCCAGATTGTGGCTGGAGGCAAAGGCCCAGATGGTGTCGTCACTGTTTCGCATCACTATACCAATGTGGTCGCCAACCTGCAAAGTCAGGGCTCTCGCACAGGAGATTGTCACTAGCCGAGTGATACGGTCTTCGCTGACTCGTTGCACAGACGTGATTGTTCCTTTGAAAGGGCAGGTTTTGTAGCTGGAACGATCGTCAGAGCTTGTTGGATCGCGCTCTCGCCTGGACTCTTCCAACATTCGAACAGTGCCACCGCCGTTGTCGCTTCCTTTGTTGGATTGTCGCCCCAGCGCCGAAGCCAGTTCCACAAACTGGTAGGCCCGGTACTTGTGTTTGCCTAACCAACCGCGCTCACCACAGTACACATCCTTCAGCAAAGCCCATAGATACTGCAAGTCATCAGGCACCTTGGTAAAAAGCTGCTGTTGTCGCAGGAACTCAATGAACCTCCTCCAATTTTTGGGCATCCAGTCGATTTGCATAAGAAGATCGGCTCCCATGGTACTGTCCCACTTTTGCCTTCCGATAATGTGGTCCATAATGACAAAAATGGGGCATCCACCTCCCGACAGAGCCGGGACACCTTCTTTCAGGGGTGCCGTAGCATTGGCAAAGGCAGTTGCAAATTCTACAGGGTCAATGGATCGATCCCCTGCTGACCCATCCGGGATGGCCTTCCCCAGCATTCGAGTGAGGTCTTTGATTTCGGCAATCATGGCACTAATGTGTTTGGCCTGCCAGTCACCACGGCAGAGTGCTAGAATGCTCTCCATCATGTTGCGCAAGTGTCGATTGGAGTCGCAGAATAGTTTGGACATGAGCTCTTCGGCACTGGTCCCGAAGATTGGTGTAATCATTTTCATGTTTTCAAATTCATAAATGTTGCCCCGAATGGGTCGTTGCTGGTACATGAGATCTTCCGGTGCGACGTAGACATCTTTTCTGCCCAGTCGTTCGCTGATCATTGCCCAAGGAATCTGTACCGAAGGACACGGTGTGTACACCACATTGTTTCGCCAACAAGCCGCGCGATATCCATTGGCCAAGTGTGCCAGAATGGCACAGGCAATCTGCAGGCATTCATCCGGACATGCGATGGGGTCACCTTCGACAATCTCCATTTCTTCCAGTGCCTTTAGGAGACCGTTGTTGCCTTTGAGTCCTTCCATTCTAGTGCCCATGGTGTACCAGATTCGACCTCTGGAAGCCAAAAGAGTATTGAGTGCTTTTTCATAGTCCGGGACCAAAAAGCCATGTTCTCGACTCATGTAGCCTTCCGTACTGGCATGTCCAAAGAGGTCCTCCTCCTTCAATTTGTTTGGAAACTCGGGGTTGGTGGTCGTGTAGCTGTAATCCACCTGCAAGACAGGTTGGGATTCATGGCAAAACAGAGCATCCGTGTCAAAGTCGTCGTAGTCTTCCGAGAGAAGCATATTCCTTAACTTGATAATTCCACTGCCCCGATTAACGCTCTGCTTGAGCATGAGGGCGGCATTTTTGTCGGCTGCCCCCACAAAGAAGGGACACCCCCCTTTGCTGTTCTTGCGCTCGGCACCACCAGGAGAAGCACCCACCGCATGCTGTTGTTGCAAGGCTGTTTCAAAGCTTAAGTCCATGCTATGAATGCTCATGCTGGAACGTCTGCGTATGCCTCGTTGTGGTGGCGCCGTGGAAGAACCGGTGACCGGGCAACCAGCACCATTATTGGCGCCTGCAGAACTACGCAGAGACTGCAGAGATCCAGAGGAACTTCGGAGACAAAGCACCCCTCCTTCGTCGCCACTGTTCATGATTCCTGAACCAAGCCTTCGATGATTAATGGGACACCCAGCGGGGGATTCTCTCTTGTTCAGCTCCGCCACAACAATAACGCTCTGCTTCTCTTCGGACGTCGAGGAGGTATCTGACGTACTGACATAGAAACCGAGCAGGCTGTTGTCCATTTGTTCCTGATGTGACTTGGGATACCCACCGGCCTTGTTCTGCTCGACGGAGGGACTTGTGCTGCTGGAGGGGGTAGCAGAGATCATCTGGGGTTGATGAGCATCCTTAAGCGGGGTGCTGACAACAGCGCTCTGCCTTCGTGTATTATTTGGTTTGCCTCCCTTACTACTAGCACTGTATTTAGCGGCAGAGGCTTGGACCAAGTTCTTGTTCTTGGGGACATCAGCCGCCTTGGTCTTCTTCCCACGGCGGCCAAAGGTAAACATGGTGCTGAATAGATGAATAAACAAAAAGATAACAACTGCTAAATCGAGAAGGTTGTTTTGCTGGTTGCGGAGAGCAGCAAAGAGATTCTCTCTGTTGAGATTATACGATCCAAATGTGCCTGCTGCAGAGAATGCGAGGGCAGTCAGCATGGGTAGTCTATCAGTGTGATATGACGAATAGCTCCGACTACGAAAGAAAATAACCTATCAGAGCTTTCTGAGCGACTGGGGACTGTCTGAAGACTGATAAGAGAAAGAACGTGCTCAGAGCTCCAGTGATGAGAGAGATTAGAGCCGTACTAGTACTAGTAGCTCTAGCTAGAAGCCACGTCGGCGTCAACCAACACCACGTCAGGACGTCAGGTCGGACTACCGGTACCACTGGCTACTATGCACAGCTAGCGGCTGCTTCAGCCCATTAGAAGGCGACTAACCGAGCGGCGATGTGATGACATGACCACGTCGTCCTGCGGACAGCCAATGAAAAGTAACAAAGAAAACGAAGCGTATTCGATGACGGCTGCTTTGAGGAACAGTGTGGGGCAATAGGATAACAGTGAGAAGCCCCTTGAGCAAAATGGGATTTAGTTTTGGGTGTTGGCAGCTGTTTTGTGTCAATTTTCAGATCTTACAGAGTAACGTTCATGTAGCTCAGTGGCCGAGAAATGGGATTCATTAAACTAATAAGACTTAAATGTGCTTCGCCTCACCTCTCTTTCCGCGAATAAAAGGAAGTCAACAAATTTAATAAATAAGGTTCAATCGACAATAGAGTACTAGCTAGCTAGTACCGTAGCTGCTTCAATCTCCCCAGTGCTACCGGTACGCTAAAACACAAAGTTGCTCTTCTTGCCTTCAGTACTTCCTACCGGTTCAGTTGTAAGCCAACTCAGTTTCATACCCACTGGTAGCTAGCTAGCTAGGTAACTGATACCTGATACAGCACCTGCTAGCTCCAATATCTGCCTGCCTTCTGGAGCTCTGAAGACGTCCATGTCCTACTCTGATGGATCTCTTCTTCATACACCTGCCACCGGGCTGTTAAACATCAACCGCTTCTCGATTCAAGCAATATCTTTGGAAGGGTTGAGAGTTGAGAGCATGGATTCCACTCTCACGGTGTCATGTACTGTACCGGTACCGGTTTGGATAGAACTTTGCCTGGGCCAGATGGAGGTACCGGTGCATGTACTGTACAGCTGTACCGGCCAACAAGCAGCCAACACAAATCTCGTAAAACAGTCCTTCTCTTCAGTCTAGCTAGCTAGTCTCAAAGCCAATAGTAATCCAAGCAAGCAATTCCTTCGTAGATACCATCGTGACTTCATCCTTACCATCAGCTCCATGTCTCTGTTTTACATCTACATGTACCGGTAGTAGGCACGTTCAAGTTTTCTTTCCGTTGGTCGTTTCAGTGCAATAACAAAATAGAGAGGATAGAGCAGTCGCTCGGGAGGATACAACCGATAACATCATAACATCGCTATGTCAAACTTATTTGATTGGAAAAGGAAACTTTTTGGTTTCTGTTGGGGAAATTTTGAGGGGGTTGTACGTCGCTCGCTGGCAACATACCAGGGGCATCTTACCTCCTTCCAGCTCCGGCCCCCTGTCTCGTACGGTACTCGTAGCTACGAGTCCTCAGTCGATGAGCTCATTCTGCCACACACGCAACGGAAATTCTAAAAAAGAAACGCTCTTTGATGGTGGCTGGCACTCTCCCATGGGCTCACCAGAATGATGGTTGCTCGCTCCAGAAAGTGACGTGTCCATCTTTCTTTCCAAGAGAAAATATCATAAACCCTTTTGAGGTTCACCACGTCATTCACTTTTTTGTGCAAAATAATCCGAACACCCGAACTCTCTGCTCTCTGCTCTCTGGTGAAAGTGGCCAGCTGACGGTGTAAAGTATCTTCTGAAAATTCCTTCAGACAATTTGGCCAACGATGCAAAGAAACAAAGAAAATGCCTTTGCTGCGCTCGATCCTCTGCCTATCGGCACTTCTTGCTGATGCTACCCCGCTGCAGGATGGTCTCCTAATTGGGTCCTGATGATACCTTTCTATACGATGCTTTGGAATCTTACGTCACCATCAGTCAGGTGATTGGCATCATGTGGAAGTTGACGAATTCGCAACTCTTCGAGAGGCTCCAGCATGGATCCTGTCTTGTATTTTGTTGTGTGTCCGAAACATACAACAATTTTGTGAACTCTGTGATCGGCGACGACAGTGACGATGACGAGAAGACATTCGAGGTTGCTGCTGCTCGTCCTGAAAAGGTCATGCTCAGCACCTGCTACGGCTGAAGAAGAATCATCGACTGCGACAATATGGGAATTGTGGAAGCTACAACTGATGCAGAAAAAGGAGAGGGAGATGGTCATCATGGACATGGAAGTATTTGGGGAGAGATCGTCAACAACAAACCACCAACGAAGCTTCAGGCAACTCACATGGCCGTCGATTTTACCCGCTCTTGCTTTCGTCGCCTTCACCGTCGCGTTGGCGGCTGTTCGTGATTCCGTGGGAGGAGAGCATGCATATTCCTTTTGGCTTGTGGCATCCTGTCTCAGTGTCGTCGTGCACACGGCTATTGAAGTGTGCCTTATAACTACCTGATATCCTGGTCTAGATTTGGAAGAATACCCAGAGTTCATGACGTTGGAAGCATTTCTCTGTTCCATTCACAACATAATTGCCTCCAGTTACATTGCCCGCGACTCGCTCTTGGGAGACACCAACTGGGATGAAATGACCTACTGCTGGTTGTTTGGTAATGCTGCCGCAGAATTCACCAAGCGTATTGCTACCGTATGTTGGCCGAGGGAGTGAACTATGACGAAAAGTTGGGATTGAAGCTCTCAGCAAGCACGTGAATTATGAAAGGAAAGAATGGACACCAGGGATATTGACACTGTATCTGAAGGAGGCTTTCGAGGGATTCTTGGAAGCGAAAAGGACAAGGAAACACACACCTCAATGCTGGCCTTGTTAGTCAAAAGTCAAGCCTTGGAGAGCCAGGAACGACAGCTCAATTTGGTTACACGCACTCAGACGACAACACTTGCACACAGCCAAACCCAATCGAACTAGAAGAAAGAAACACTAACTAATGTAAGGAAAAGGAATGAGCGAGGAAGCGGTGGTTTCTCGTTGTAACACTTTAGTATTATTAGGACTACTAGTATGCCTACTAGTAGCTAGCTAGACTTGGGACCCTATACCGACTCAAGACATGCGGAATTTACCAAGTCAGTCAGTGTTGTCTCATCTTTTGCCAAAGCGTGGCATGCGAAATGATTGGCACGGAACGCATCGACGGAAGAGTTGCAGAAAACACAGGCAGAATTGGTGCTTGGCGTATTATGGTGGCAGATTTTGAAGCTTGTCCAGCCAGCCATCCATCCATGGGAGGTACCAAACCTGTACCAGTCCTACTCCAGTTGTAATTCCTCAACTGGAGCAGCCCAGGACCAGGTCTAGTTCATCCCACAGTAAGTGGTGGCATTGCGAAATGATTCGTTATTCTTGGAACGGGCGGAATCGACAGCAGAGTCCAAGAAAACACTGGCAGAATGGGGGCTTGGGCCGCATACCGTCTCCGCTACCCAGACGGTCAGAATGATCGAGAAAAGTTCTTGAGAACCAGACATAGCGTCAGAGAAGCAGAAAAAGATATGCGGGCGGTCTTCGTCTTTGGCACATGTGCCTCGTCAAACATCGAACTACCAACCACCAAACTGCGGACGGCCAGATGGATCAAGCAAGTTCTTGACCAGACAGAACATCGAGGAAGGTGAGGTAGCTGGAGACGTGCGAGGTTGAAGCGGAACTATCTGTTTCAACTTCTCAGCCTGGACAGGCAAATATCAATATTTCAGACTTTGGTTTGCAACGGATAGCCCCGAGGATGAAGGCTCATTCGACAAGCCACCAGCTGGCTGGTCGAAGGCGTTCATCCTCGTGTCTATCCGTTGCAAACCGAAGTCTGGACGGGCGAATATCAATGCTTCAGACTTTGTTTCGGGAGAAGATAGAGGCCGATGAATGCTCATTCGACAAGGCATCAACTGGCTTGTCCAAGGCGTTCATCGCGTCCATCTGTCCCGTAACCAGCCCAAAGAGAAGAGTTTTGTTCAGTCGCCTTTGCAAGTAAATATCGCGACCCATCAATGCAGGGAGCAGAAAGAGGCTCAGGCTTGGGCTGAAGGCACCAATGACAAGCCAGCAAAGTGGGCTTGTCTCCAGCGTTCACCCCTCCACAACTCAGCTGGGTGAGACGATGCTACAGGGACGGAAAGTCACCAGCTAGCACAAGGAAGGTCGTTGTTCAAATCGTGGGCTCAAGCAGCAACCATGGCCAAGATTTGCCGTGGTCGTCGAGAGCAACAAAGAACAGATCCCTTCTTTGTGGCGATGCTGGCAACGTTTCGGACCACTTTCCAAGAGGAAAAGTCATCAACACGCTTCAGCCTTGGAAAAGCATCTTTCCTTTCCAGCGGGCTCAAGCAGCGACCATGGCCAAGATTTGCCATGATCGTCGAGAGCAACCAACAAAAGCAAGGATATCATCAAGCTTGGGCTCCAGCAGCGGCAATGGCCAAGGTATGCCGTAGTCGCCAAGAGACAGCAGGATGCTCTTTCCTCATGTTCTCAAAGCGGCGACATCGAAAATCCAACTCTATGTCTCATGGCGCCACTCTCCGAATCAAGGAGGAACCGTGTCCGCTGTTGCCCTCAAGCAGCGACAATGGCCAAGGTATGCCATAGTCACCAAGAGCTCCAGCATCGTCTTGTTCCTCATGTTCCAGAAGTGGAGTCAGAGATAGTTGACACGTGGCGCATATATATGCATCCTCAGAAGGGGATCGCTCTACCAGTGGCAACATGCGGCGGCGAAGGATTGCCACTGTCGTCGAGTGCAGCTGCAAGTAGTATGGTCCCCTTCTGTGAAATGAAAGCGCGATGGTGGGATCGTCACTCCAATCAATTCTTCCATGACCAAGATCTTCCAATGGAAATTGCTACAAAGTCCGGCTCTGCGTCGGCAATGGTCAAAATCGTCATTGCCGTCGAGAGCAGAGGTCGCATCAATGCCATCGGAAAGAAAGCTGCCACGGTCCACAGTTCAATCCACCGGGCCAGTCTCCAGCAACGCCAATGGCCAAAAGTTGCCATTGTCATCGAGAGGCGGGCCGTGTTGATCACTGTGATCCGTGTGCTTTTTGTCGAGAGATGGCGCCAATGTCATCCGAAAGATCTCAGGGTCACATCAAAATGAACCTGATCACGTCTCCAGCGACGCCAATGGCCATAAGTTTGCCACTGTCATCGAGAGAGGCGGGCCGTGTCCATCTCGCTGTGGTCCGTGTGGTATCGTCACAATAAGAAAGAAGGAGACAAGGTGCCCCGGGCTCCAGCGACGTCAATGACCAAGATTTGTCATTGTCGTCGAGTGCCGTGGCCGCGCTGTCTCTTTCTGTTGACCGACATTGTGCCATCATGGTAAGAAGAAAGGAGGAGTTCGAAACAATCGAGACTCGGCAATGAGAACTGCGTTCAACCAACCGAGGCTCCAGCGACGTCAATGACCAAGGTCTGTCATTTGTCGTCGAGAGCATGGGTCGTGCTGTGCATTTCTAATTGGCCGAGTGCCATCATGGTCGGAAAGAAGAAAAAGGAGAGGCTAACTTGACGACCAGTTCGGCTCAGCGACGACCAGGGCCAAGAGTTGCCATGGTCGCGGAGAGCAGATGGTCAAAGTGCCTCCTCTTCTCCTTGCCGTCCACTGTATCTCTCTCTCGGTTGACCGGATGCCGACGAGGTCCCGCCATGGTCGAAATAAAAAGAACAGGAGAGTTCAAGGACACCAACCTCGCTCAGAGGCGACCATGGCCAAGACTTGCCATGGTCGTCGTGAGCCAAGTTAGAGTTCCTCGTCCTCTCTTTGCCGTCCGCTGTATCTCCCTGTTGGCGTTGTCCCGCCATGGTCCAAATAAAAGAACAGGAAAAGAGGGGGGCACAGAGCCTCGGCTCAGCGACGACCATGACCCAGACTTTGCCATGGTCGTCGAGAGCAGACGATCAGTTCCTCCTCTTCTCCAGCCGCCTTGATTTGGCCAAGATTCGATTCGATTCGTCCCGTAATGGTCGAAATAAAAAGAAGAAAAAAGGAGTCCTCCTCAACCAAGATGGCTCAGCGACGACCACGGCCCAGAATTGCCATGGTTGTCGAGAGCAACTCGAGTCAAGAGCCTCCTCGAATTCGCCTGCCGTTTTGTGATGTTGCCGTCATTGATCCCGTCATGGTCGAAGATAACAAGAGCAAAAGGAGACGAGAAACTGTCAGATCAAGCTGGCTCAGCGGTGACCATGGCCCAGAATTGCCATGGTCACCGAGAGCGGCTCGAGTCGAGTTCCTCCTCTTCTCCTGCTGCCGTTTTGGTTTGGCCGAGATTGGAATTGTGAGACTTTTTGAAATGCTTGAAAAGTGGCAAGCAGCCTCCAATCTCGGAGGGTTCAGCTGCGATTGCTTGTGAGGACGCTGCTACCAGGTACGTAGGAATTGGTAGAGAAGCTACTACAGAAGAACATCGTCTTTCGTCTCGTTCGGGAGGTGACTACAAAGTGGGATTGAAAGATCCAAACGTTAGCCTTTAACCCTAAGAAGATCTTAGGTTATGAAGCCATCGATCCAAACAAACGTGGACATGGCACATTCATCTCTCATCACCTCGTCTGCTAATCTCAGAGACCAACCTCCCAGAACAACAGTACAGAGTAGCCACTGACAACAGTAGCTACTGACAACCATGGCCGACCCCAACAACAACAGTGGTGCTGCTCCAGGTGTTGGTGCTGCTACAGCAGAACTTCCCAAGAAGAAGGAAGGGATCAGTGAAGAAGATCCTTCGAATGTGTCGAATGCGTTACCTCCGTCTCACATTCTGCCCGACGGTCGATTCATCTATTTGCCTCCTCCCAACGATGTGGAACGGTCTCGTTTCTTTGAACGATCGATTGCCAAGTACGGATTGTTAGAGTCGGACATGCAGGGAACTGCGGATGACGCGACCAAGGATGAAGAAGAAAACAAGGAAAAGTCGACCGAGCCGCGAGTCCATCCCTTGGCCGTAGCATCTGCTCGATTGCAAGCCAGTGGAGTCGCTGAATTGAATCGAGCCATCAATTTGTCCACATTGGTCAATACAGGAGAGTACTTTGGTCTGACCAACATTGTCGATCCAGCACTCGATTTGGGAGTCCCTACTGCTCCAACTACTACAGCAACGGCGGCTACTCCCAACGCCCAAGGATCCGCCACTCCCAATACTGCAGCTACTCCCAACGCCAATACAACCGACAAGGCAACTACCGACGATGGCAGCAAGAAACCAGCCGATCCTGCCACTCCCAGCACCCCCGCCAATAACAAGACCGCCGCATCGCAAGCCACCAAGGAAATGCAAGAAGAACAACGCGTCAAGGCCAAATACACATTGAAGCGGAAACGGGCCGTCTTTGACAAAATGTCACGAGTCCTCCAACGCCACTGTCATCGCCTCCAATCGGCCATGTCTGCACAAGCCATTCCCGATGCTCGGCTCAAACAATTGCGTCCGCAATGGAGGTTGGTGGCGCCGGAACACGGGACTCGCGCCAAACCGCATGCCGTACGACCCACCGAAGTAGTGGCCGTCGATGTCGATGTCTACGATCCCATTGGAGGCGTCTTGGGACAGTCACTGGCGGGACGATTGGCCAGTCAAGTGCCGCGGTATGCCACAGTTGAATTGACCGAAGAATACACGGCGCAAGTATTGGGTACTACTAAATCAAACAATCAATCACAAGATGACGAAGAAAAACAAGAAAAAGACGAAGCAGACGGGAAAAACACACCAAAAAATCGTCCAGCAAAAAAATCAAAAAGGAACAGGACACTGCTTCGGACATTACTGAAACCGCCACAACGACTACGACTAGTAGTAGCCAATCATCATCACAACAATCACAAACGCAATCACAACAACAACCAGTGTGGCACAAGAAATTCACAATGGCAGAACCATTTGCCATTGCCGATCCGACACTGGGAAAAATATCGGCCGACTTTGATCCCAATAAGGTTTCTTTTTTGACGCTCCAGTTTGATATTGAAAAGCCGTCCACGGGATTCTGTATGAGTTCGTCGTTGGAACCCATGACCACCAGTAATATTGAAGAAAAACAAAAACACAACGCACAAGGAGATCTATCTGGTGGTGCTGCTGCTGTCGTTATTAAAAAGGAGGAACAAGATGACGAACCTGCTGTTGTCAAAATGGAAGTAGACGACGACAAAAAGCCAAAGGAGGAAGAAAAGGAGGAGGACGAGGAAGAAAAGAAGGATGACTGTGACGACGACGACAATGACAAGCTTCCCCACGATGAACAAGTCCTCGTGTCTCTGCAGCATTCACTCTTTTGTGCCAAACTATTCGAATCCATTCGCACAGAAATCATGGGAGACGATCTCGGGGATCCCGATGCACAACCCAAAGTGCAACATCATTCCCAACAAGCAACGGCACAACCATCCGATTCCGTCATGTGGTTGTCCAGCGAATCCGAAGAAAACTATCTACCGCCACCGGCTGTCATGGTCCGACCTACCGGAACGGGAGGAGCCGCCGCCTTGTGCGTCGTCCACTGTCATGCCAGTGAAGTCAAGGTACAGTTGGATAGTGAATACACATTGCGCGCCAAATTGGTCGAAGCTGCCGAACGGGAAACTACTTTTTCGGCGACCGCAAATGCCAACACTAAAACTACTACCAATGTTACCAGTGGCAGTCAGAGTCCCGAACAATTGTTGGTACTCTGTCGATCACTCTTGTTGCATGCCCAAGAAGCATATCACAAACATTCGCTGCAAGAAAGTTTCAAAACGGCACAGAAACGAGAAGAAGAAGAAAAACGATTGCTGGCAGATGCCAATAAACCCAGGGGATTGGATCGGATACAAAAGAAGGATGTTCGAACCAAGGCCAAGATTTTGCAGTCGGTTGTGGCGCTCGGCACGAAAATGCTCTTTGAACAACGCATTCGAAAGGTATTGATGGTACGTATTTTGTATCGGATCGTACAGAACGTGCAGTTCGATTCGATTGGGGCTGCTAGCTCTATCAGCTAGGAAGATTCTCACGCTTTTCTCTTTTGCCCCTTCCTGTACCAAAAGAGAGTCCGCCATTGGCTACAAACCAAGTATCCAGATACAACCGACAAGATATCGACGGAATGGCTAGCGGTTTCGGTCTTTGATTTGCATGCACGGTTCGTCATTAGTTTTGGCTATTCGCTGACCGTTGATGTTACCATTGTGCGAGATGAAATGACAGTCGTCACACACAATTCGCTGGATTGGAGCAGCAAGGCGGCGGGTGCCGTTCGAAAAGTCAAGTTTCGCTCCGATGCCGAGTTTGAAATCTTTTTGAAGATTGAGATTCGAAGAGCCATGAAACAGCAATCGCAGCAATAAGGGACAATGGCCAGCGCATGATTGATTCATTTGCGTTGGGTTCAGAAAGGCCCAGCATGCAACACAGTTGGAACGGTCGCCAACTTGATGCATCACGCTCCATCTTGTGCTAACAAGGCTATACCTGGTAGCAGGTAGAACAAAAAGGCTACGATGGCTCTTGGTGCAACGGAGAAAGACTGGGTGATGCCAGTTGGCTCTAAACGTAGGAGTTAATCTGAACAATGATGCGAACCAAAACGCTACGAGTGTCCGCAGCGACGACATGGAGTGGGCACAGAGGTGAATTAGCACTACATATTTAGGACGGCACGATCATCAGATGATTCGATTGATTTGATTCAATCAATCCTTGCGGCCAGATCCCAAATGGGAATTTCTTTTAGTTTGTTGGTAGCAACTCTGTACCGGTACTGGTAGAACATCTAGCTAGTCAGCCACGGATACTTCTTCTGTAAGATGTTACCTGGTACCTGGTCCATGGTCCCTGTTGGCAGTACGATGTACCGTACCGGTATGTAGCATACAAGATCAGAATGGTGCACATTTCGGTGGCAAAAGTTTTGCACCTCTACCCGGTACCTGGTACTAGTACGACTCGGTATCGTACCGCACGCAACTTGGGGGCAGAAATGGAGGCCCAACCTCGAGAGCAGCGGCGGCAACATTCGCATCTCTCTAGCTACTAGTAGCTAGACTACTAGCTAGTAGTAATCTGCCACCACTGCACCGCACTCACCATTGCATTTGCGAACTGATGACAAGAGAGATGAAACAAAGGGTTTGCTACTTGCTTGATGCACCTACAAATAGAGGGCAAGGGGATTGAATTCTTGCAAATCTAAATTTGATTTCCATCTTTTGTTTTTTCAAAGAGAATAATATGCATTACCTAATAGCAGGAGGCAAGAATGCAGGAAGTGGAAACGTATAATATGTAGAATTCGTTCAGGAAGTTTGGAAGAAACACATTCAAACAAGCAAGCAGGGAAAGGGAAATAAGATGCTTGAGGTAACTGTTGCTTGCTTGCAAAGGTCTCCTTGTGCCAGTTGTTGATTGCAACATGTGAAAGATGGCGATAGGACACTGCCCCAGTGCTTGTCACAGCCCTAAAGGTCAATTTCATCTGTGAATACTTCAGCCGCTGCCTGTAGAGCCTGTTCAGGCTTGTCCTCAAATTGTGCTGTCGAAAACTTCTTACTCGCATCCATTGAATTTCTCCTCCTGGCAGTGGCTTCGCTCTTCTTGGCAGTGGCTTCGATCAGCTCTTGGGTCACCTGCTCGCCCTTCATTTCCCACTCCATCATATTGCTTTCAGCACAATGGTAAAGCTCCGCTCCCAATGCTCCAAAGGCGCTGGAATGCTTGACACGGTCAGCCAGTGGCAAAATGTAGAACTTGAAGAAGCCAATCTCGCCCTTGTACCAGTCCTTGCGAGGATCCTTGTCGGCGCGCCCTTCACTCCAAGCCTTGTCCATTTCGTGGAACAGGCAGGTGTTCCACTGCCGATAGATGTGCCAGTGTTGCATTGTGTGGCTCACATCCGAGGCTTGAATCACAAGCTCAAGCAAGGCTGTGCGACGTTCGCTCTGGATATCCTCCAGTGTTTCAAACATGCTGGGAGGTTGTGGGGCCTCACCGGAAGTGCCAAAGACACGGTTCCATCTTTCCTTCCTCTTGGTTTGAAGCTCCTTGTTCACAATGTCTGTAACGAGGACAGTGTGGACCAAGAGTTGGCGGAATCGAATCATTTCCTCCTTGTTTTTGTAGATTGTGCGGCGCAGATCCTTGTACTGATCTTCCATGAGCAAGTTCCAAGTGATGTCTAGCGAGTTCTGTTCCGCCGCACTCTGTCCGTTATACACCATCGCAATCGAATCTTGCTCCTTGTTCAGCTGGCCATTGGGGACACCTGGATGGTCACTGAGAATGCAACATTTCACGGCGGTGAGAATCGAATGAGAATCAACCAGGCATCCAGCCGGTCGCTGTCTGCTGCTTTTACTCACGCGTCATGGACAATTGCAGCCAGTACCAACGTGAAGCGGGCCAAAGGATCATCCAAACCATCGTCCTTGTGATTGCTGGCAGAACCCAAGAGCTTCATGACATTCATTACCACATGGGAAGCGTGGTCGAAGTTATGGCTGCAAAAACAGATCAACGGTAAGTGCTAGCAAAGGCAATTTGCAAACCGACGCTTGCGAGAATCCGAAGACTTACAATGGAACTTGCTTGTACGTAGCAGCCATTGACCACACAAAGTTGCGGAGTTGCATCATAACACTCATGCCCAATTCAATTGACTCTGCAGCCTCTTGGATTGCTTCCAAATTCTCGATTTCGGGGAAAGGAATTCTGTCGGAGATTTCCTCGATTGGAGCAGCCCTGCGATCAAGAACTTCCTGTTCTGCTGCTTTGAGTCCACTATCACTGTCCTTCTTTTGCTGGGCCGAACGCTGGTGGGCCACCACCACCTTGAGAAACTGTGCGAGACTTTCAGTGTGCCAGTCCACCAATCCAACCTGCTTGTCACGGAACTCGCCACCCAATTCGTCGTCTTCTCTCTCGGTGATGTCCGCATCTGCATCGCCCTCGTCAATTGCTTTCAGCGTCAACCAGCAGGTTTCTACGATTCCAATACCCTTGGCCAAGACTTTATCCTCACGCGGGACAACCCAGGCACCCTTTCCAGCTTCTCGGATAAGGTTGGCTGTGGCGGAAGAAATCTGAATCCTACCCTTCTTTCCCGTCGACTCGATTCTAGCTGCAGTATTCACCGTGTCTCCAAAAAGCTGGAAACGAGCACGCTGTCCCCGCAGCACTCCTCCAGTGACAGGGCCACTGTGAAGACCAAATCGGAACCCAAGCGCGGAAGTCTCTGGTCCGAGTTCCACTTCCAACTTGCGAGTGACAACTCGAACCCTGCGGGCGCAATCTTGAGCAAAGCGGGCCATGACCAGTGCGTGATTCTTGTTGGGTTCAGGAAGACCACAGCAAGCAACATAACTACAACATACGGCGCATAACAAGGCAAACAAGTGTAAGTTTGGGATAAGGTGGACGAAAGAGAATCAGAGGTTGAGCCAACTAGTACTTACCAATCACCCACAGTCTCCACTTTGAACACTTTTCTGCGAGCGGCAATCTCATCGAATGCGTTGTACACAGTTTCCAGGAGGTGAAAGACAGAGATGGGGTCACGCTGTGAACTCCAAGCGGTGAAACCTTCCATGTCAGCAAACATGACGGTTGTGTTGGGGAATAGATCGGCAATGGGCTTGCTCTTGAGGTCGGCATTCTTTCCGTCCCGATCGTTGGCATCGTAGTCCAGCATTTGCTTGGCCACATTCTTGGGAAAGAGCGACGACACAATGGCGTTGGATCGTTGTGCCGAAGTAAGGACCTTATTGAACTTTTCCGCTCTGCGCGCCGAAGTCCACATCCAAAATGCCAGGGCGAGACTGGCGCAAAAGATGACGGCGCCTCCCAAACAGACAAACAAAATGTCGGGCTTGTAGGTCCCTTCAATGGCCAAGACCGTGACAGTCCAGACACGGTTGGCCGCCGTGACATTGTTTTGTTCCATGAGCCCGGCCGACAACGCTTCGAGTGGTTCTTCGTCCAAAAAGTTAATGTCCGGTTCGGAACTGCCATCGGTATGCTGAACCGATGCGCCTCCCAAAAAGACGGCATCTTTTCCGGGCTGGGAACGGTCGTGAATGTAGACGAGCGCACTCATGGCTTGATCGGATGTGGACCGCTTCAACAAGTCGGGGACACAGAGAACAATGGACGAAAAGTCCTTGGGCCAGATTTCGTCTCCTGCTTGGGGTTCATCGAGGGCGACACCGGGGTGCATGAGCACGACGCCGTACGAAGGCCCATTGTGATTGCCGCAACGACTGACTTCTCCCTTTTTCTTGACGAGCGAGAGACGATCCGTGAGGGACGGTCCTTTGGTTTCAAAGAGGGCTCCGACGGCGCGCGTGCGAGACTCGGAGGAATGGTAGTCGAGGTCAATGGCGGCTTCGTTGCCCAAGATGGGTTCCTGGTAGTGAATGGGGAAGTAAAAGGGCTGATCAATACGCGGTTCCAAGGACGTGCTGTTGGGGTAGTTGAATCCTCGAAAACCTTGATAGTCCACATGGGGGTAGTGCTCGGCATAGTAGGCTCTGGCTTCCGCTTCCGCGGCGGGACGTTCGTCGTGAGTGATCATGGGGTCAAACTGCGCGGCCTTGAATTGGAGTCCACTGGCAATGATATACTCGAAAGTCTCGCGAAAGTCTTGACGGGTAAAGTTGCGGTGACGACAACGCAAGTGGATGGTACTGGCAGCGTTGACGTAGTCTTCAAATGCCAGATTGATCTTGTTGGTGGCATCGGTGGCCGAGCTGACAAAGGCCACCTGCTGCTCATCCTGAGCCTTGGTCACTCCGAATCCGACAAAGGCGGCCGATGTGGCGGCGCCCAGAAAGATGATGAGAAAGAGGGTAGTGCGGATAGAGTTGGTTCCAGCGACCGGCACCTTCTCGGCACTCATGTCGCCCATGGTGCTGCTGTTCACGCTCAGGCGGCTGCGGCGACTCGTCACAGAGATCAAATCACAGTCCGACACATCATCTTCAGGGTCCTCCAAGTCCAAAGCCCTGGCGGTGAGGAACGTGCTCTTTCTGTTGCTCATGGTTAGGAATTATTTATGCTTAAAAAAAGATTGGTTGAGGAAGTGAATGTGCTGAATGACTGGAGGTAACCGGTGGGTGATGAGAGTGGTACGGTAGCTGAGTGTGGGAAGGAAAATTGTGATTTCGCTTCCAGAGGTTGAGAAAGAAGTTGTGTGGTTGAACGGTTGAACCCGAATTCAGCCTTGAGCTTTTCAAAAAGTGAGCACCTTGAAGCCTTTCGAAGCTGCACTGATGGTTGGGTCGACGTCGTGGCCTGACTACTGCAGTAGCTACGGTACTGCTGGTTACTGTAGCAGCAGTACTGAATTACCTGAATCGAATCGAATCTACAAAGAATGCTCCGAATTGTGCGTAGGAGCACTGCGGAGTAAGAGAATAATTGCTCAACCAGTTCTCAAGCAGTCTGACAGCCATTACGTTCTTGGATCCTTGCAATTTACCCCAAGCTGAACCACAACAGTCATCGGTTTCAGAGCTTTAGAAAGTTAAGACTGATGCCAACCAGGATCCGTCAGGACTTACTTTTATTACGTGGTCCCTTCTTCAGTTTCGCTGGGGATTTTCCATTGACCTGGGCCAACCAGGTTGGTCGGCGAGATTTTTTGTGCTTCTTTTTTCCAGACTTTAGTTAGAGGTACTACTGCGGTCATCAAGAGTCAAAGCCGAGTGCCTGAGAAGGGCATTAGGGTTTCCCAGTAAATACGCCTTTCACTGAGTCTATTTGAGTCCTGCTTGTTTGCTCCGTTTGACAGCCTAATTCATTTAAATTTTGCTTGGAATGTGCTCTTGGAGCTGCTCTTGGTTTCCAGTATTTCATGTTTTTACCACCATTTCAATACCGGTTGTATGACAGGACTAAAGCTTTCTAAATGAGTTATCGAAATACTAGGAACTTTCTTGTGACCATTCTTCCATTGACAGCTCAGGTGGACAAAACAGAGGATCTTACGTCTTCTAATTACGACCACCTTCATGTCTACATAAGTCTTTAAAAGGCTAAAGACTTCAGAAATCGTGACAGAACTTTGACCATCGTTGATCTTTGCCGCTTTGCCGACGTTGCTTGCGTTGCATACCGGTACAATGTCATGTACGGCATCGTATGATACCGACAGTGCAATGGGAAGCTGATTGCAGTGTGTCACACCTGATGCCTGTTCAGATTCTGATGAAAATCCCAGTGAGCTCCCAGTGACTGATTTCAAGAAGACAATGACAATTATTTATTTTTGTATGAAACGTTTCTTTCAGGATTTAAAGGGGGGCAGCAAAATCGTTTTGGTTCCCTCGAAAGAACGCGTGGTGCTTATGGACTGCCCCTCCTATATCTTTTGTTGCACATTGAAAGTGGCTCTGAGCTGTTCTGGTCGTAAACCCTTGCGTCGGTCAGAAATCTTCGTAATACATCCGTCGAGATCCTGGAGTTCAAGAGAGCAACAATGTTCAGATGGCTACATGTACCGGTACACCGGTACATGTGGATCCTAGAATCTTACCGAAGAGTCAGTGTCTAATAGTCTAGCTAGTACATGTAGGTGGCAAGCAAGCTACATACATGTCAGCTAAAGGTATCATAGTACCGGTAGCTACTACTAGAAACGTGTAGTCTACGTGTGGTCAGTGGCAACTTTTTTGTTGGCCACCAAGATGATGGTCCAGGTAACGTTGCCGCTGGTTTGCTTCCCACCTGTTGACTTCCTTGTCCACTAGAGGAACATTTATACCAACTTCCGGTACTCGGCAGTTGTTGCGGTTTCTTGTTCCTTGTTATGGGGGCAAAGGGGCGAGGGCGACACCTGCAGCCCTCGCTCCTCTTTCTTGTACTGTAATTGGTTGGATGCCGACCCCAAGTAAGATTGGTTGACCGCTTGGCCACTGAGCTGACTACTATCTGCTGGTACTACTACAAGGCAGTAGTAACCAGCCCTTGTCCTGTGGGTATTAAATTAAAATAGGGTGATGTATGATGCAGGATGCATGTGATGTCATGGAGCGAAGCTTCAGTAGTCTAGCTCCTCGTCGCTCCCATCCTCTCAAAACAGCGCTCTTGGGCCCACATTTAGCTAGCTAGCACAATGCCATGAGGCCTGTACCGATAGCCGGCTACAACAACCCTGTCCGAAGCCAAAGTCTAGCTAGGTTTTGCAGTCACAGAGTCCAGCTGATGCCAGTACAGCTGGTTGGCAAGAAGAGGGGTTTCGGTCGACAAACCGTTTCCTGCTTGCTAGCCAGTACCGTACAGTACGAGCAATCTATCTAGAGTCTACCTATAGCGAGGTGAATAGTTTGGCTGGTTACCAGACGAAACATGTGCCCATGACCGAGCACACTGAGTAAGTTGCGGTTCCTTGTGATTTGTGGATCGGTGATGAGGGCGACACCTTCAGCCCTCCTCTTTCTTGGAATTGGATTGACAAGATTGGTTGACCACTGTGCTGACGAGTACGCAGGGATGCCCCCCCTTGTCCTTTGGTCTTTTGACTTACATCTTGTCCATGGTGTAGCTCCTCATTTGGTCGGTGCACTGAACTGTTCTGGCGAGAAGCCCAGCTGAAGCTCCCACTTCGAGTCTGTGAGTATCAAGTTGATACATCCTGTAGCTAGCTGTAGCACATGTACTGTGTCATGTATAAGACGCTTGTAGGGATAGCTTTTGTCCTGCACGTTTCTGAACCCAATAGCTTTGCCTTCTTCAACACGGTACATGTAGCCCAAAATTTAATCCCAAATAATAATAATGACAACAACTGCTCAACAGCTATGTTACATGCACTCCTGCACCTTGAGGTAATCAACTCAAATTGAGTCTTTTCTCCTTTTTTCAAAAACATTTTCTTCAAAAATATGTTCCCCAGACTGAAAAGGAAACAGCCTATTTGAGCTGACCAATCTGAATCTGAATCTTAAGAGCCTAATTAGGCTCTTAAAATTACAACAGGCTCTTAGAATTCAGATCTGAAAAACCAGATTGAATATCCAGCTAATTTACACTGGGATCTGAGTTTTCAATTTTCCAATCTTAATTCTAAGAGCCTAAATAGGCTCTAAGAGGCTCTGAGAATTCAGATTCAGATTATTCAACTTCAACAGGCCTTGTGGAGTCCTGCATGTCTCTTTGCTTCATTTTACATTTTCTGAACAATTAAGATTTGAGCTTTTTCTTCCATTTGGAGGACATTACCCCAAGGTGCTGAAGATGAGCCACTGATCCCGTGGCTGCGTGGCTGGCAGCTGGCAAGAAGAGGGACAAACCGTTTCTAAATCGTGGGAGTTCTCCATGCTACCGTACAGTGCCGGTACTGTACACTGAGTACGGCTGGGGTGAATACTCGTACGTTACTACCGTACGGTACAGCGTATGAGTACTGAGTACTCGTAGCAATTTACCTAGTTTTGTTGGCTGGGTTACCAGAGCTGTTACTGTACCAGTATCTCAACGAAACATGTGATATGTGAGCTCATGTGCTCATGTGACCATCGACCAAGCAAACACTGATAGTCAATTGGCAGAGCATAGGCAGTGAGGGGGGTGGAAGTGCATTTAGTGATACCCATCCCTGTTGCAAAGCATACACTGGATGATCGTTGGACAACAATTGTGGTTGCCAAATTGGCAAGTTGCTGTTACATGGCAGCCATATGGTGTACCAGTGACAGAGGACGAGTACATACATATTATCCCAGCAAGCCAAGTACATGCAACAAGCTACGGTAGCTAGGAGTGACTCGGCGCAGTTTGAGAGAAATTGGAATCATATACACCATCATCATGGGCCACCACCACCACAAAAGA